GACTGGGAATGAGCAACACTCGTGAATGTTTAACATCAAGCATTCCATTCAAACCAAGTGCCACGTCGTGCAGTCAGGTTCTGAAAATGCAAACACCAGCAACAACAACAACTTGTATTTATACAGTACTGCTCATGCAGGGTAGCAAACCAGAGCACTTGATAGTGGTGGAGCATGACGCCGAACCGGGGGGAAGGGGTCAATGACCGTAGGCACGGTCAAAGAGAAGGTCTTCAGGCATGAGCTGAAGATGGGGAAGGAGGGGCAAGGTGGAGGCACAGTCTACAAAAATAGTTGTCTTATAGAGCTTCTTTACATCAATCTGTTCTTTTTAACCAGCTTCAATGGTCAGATTTGATATCCTCAGAATGCCTAGCAATTTGGTCAGTGGTGACATTTTCATTTAACAGTTTACTGTTTTTGGTCTCATCTCACTGTTTTATCTATAATAACTGCAAGACTTGGTAACTTAAAACCAAGGGTCTATTTGGACTTCTCAAGCCTAAGTCTAATTTTCAAGTTCACATGTACAGAAATTAAACTGGTTAATATATAGAATTTAATATTTATTCAGTTGTATAGCAACAAGACTGATGCTCTCCTGCTTGGTTCCCCATCAGTGCCTACGCATTATTATTAGTGGGGGGGGGGTCACCTCCCCTCTCCCCCCAGCTCAGCATCGTGCTCCGCCGCCACCACCACCACCACTCTGGGATGCTACTGTGCGTGAGGGGCACTACGTAAATGAAAATTGTTATTTGTTTCAGATGCAAACAGCAACTTGGATGGATGCACACTTATTTGACTCAACTATTCCTTAACCCCACATCCGTGCTCAGCTTTGCCCCACCTCCGAAATATTGTTTGTATCCACCACATCTCCCCTCGGACTGCCAAGACCCTCGTCTATGCATTGATCATCTCCAGGCTTGATTACTTCAATGATTTGCTCGCCAGACTCCTTAGCTCTCTATACTCAAGTTTGCAGACAATCCAGAGCTCTGCAGCCTGTGTCCTTTCCCACACCAGCCTATTACCCCATCCTCGCTGGTATCCCCATTGGTTCCCCATCCCCCAGTGAATTGACTTCAAGATCCTTGTTCTCACCTTTAAATCCCTCCATGGTCTCACCCCACCCTACCTCAGTGGCCTCTTCAAACCCTACAGACCCAACAGCTCCCTTTGTTTAGTGAGCACTGGCCTGCTTCATATCTTCCACCCTACCTGCCCCACCATGAGCAGATGGGCTTTCAGCCTATCCATCCCCACACTCTGGAATGTCCTTCCAACTCGCTCTCTCCTTCAACTTATTCATGGTATGTCTCAAGATCTACCTTGTGGCTCCCACCCACAGCTCGGGTGCCAAGCCAGTACTGTTAAAAACTTTGGGACATCCTCCCGATGTGAAATGCACTATATAAATGTAAATGTATAGCTTATTCTTAGTGTATTCAATTTGTTAATGTCATCTTGTGGCAGAGCGCTAGTTATTTTTTGCCACAAATAACAGGCTTTTAAGCTGGACACACCAGGGATCCCAAATACTTCATGTCTTTAGCTTAAGACTCTCTAACAGTTAGTGGAACTTTGGAAGAGTCTTAATTTGAAGCCAATTTTCTAGTCTTTTATCGGTATTGCAGAAAATCGGCTTACAATTAACACTGAATTTAAGAATTATGAAAAACAATCTAAAATGTTAAGGCAATTGTTTTAAGCCTTGTAAAATTAGGAGTTTCAGATTCCTTCTATTGTGTTCAATTGGAAAAGCATCACCATGATCAAAACATCTCCTTTGGGCTCCTTATTTAAAAAAGGACATACTTGCCCTCGAGGGGGTGCAGCGTAGATTCACTCGGTTAGTTCCTGGGATGAGGGGACTGACCTATGAGGATAGTCTGAATAAACCAGAGCTGTATTCTCTAGAGTTCAGAAGAATTAGGGGAGATCTTATTGAAACTTATAAGATTCTTAAAGGGCTGATAAAGTAGACACAGAGGGACTGTTTCCCTGGTAGGAGAATCTATAACCAGGGGTCACAGTCTTAAAATTAAGGGTCAGCCTTTTAGAACAGAGTTGAGGAAACATTTCTTCACTCAGAGGGTAGTGAACTTATGGAATTCACTCCCCCAGAAGACTATAGATGCTCATTCCTTGAACATTTTCAAGGCTGAGACTGATAGATTCTTGAAAAAATAGAGGGATTAGGGGATAGGGCAGGGAATCAGAGTTAGGTGAGAAGATCAACTATGATCTTATTGAATGGCGGAGTAGGCACGAAGGGCCGAATGGCCTACTCCTGCTCCTAATTCTTATGTTCTTATCACCACTACAGCACCATTAATTCAACCAGACAAATCTTAAATGGATCACTTTCAACAATAACAACTTGCATTTATATAACGCCCTTCACACAGGGTAGCGTTTCAGAGCGCTTTCAAGAATCACTGGTGAAAAAAAATCATAATGGTCAAATGTGTACAATACTTATTTGTGTGTGTCTCTGTGTCTCCTCTCTCTATTGTTGCTACATGTGAGAGCGGCCCAGAATGACTCTACCATCCAACCTACTGCTCATGGGATGTACAAAGTTTCTATTCATGATAAACTACCAGAGAACTTCACGGTAGCATGGGATGTATGATAACTCAGACATAATGGGGACAGGATGCAACAATGTTAATTAAAATTTGAGAGACTTTTTAATGAGGGCATGGTGCATTGCAGTCTGTTACAAACATGAGCTTTATAATGAGGATGTGGTACAACAGTGTTAGAACTGATGCTTTTAAAATGAAGGCCAAATAGTGGAGTGGTGTTGCAGTGGAGCGTGTTACAAGGATGGGATAAATGAGGTAGTTCTTTCCTCAATGCATCCACGTCCATCTCTTCCTTTTTAGCCAGCTCTATTTACTTCTATTGTGGTCAATTCACTTTGCAGTATATTCTGTGAAGCGCTTTGATCCGTCTAGAAGATGTGATAAAGCACCATATCAGATGCAAGGATTATTCTTCTTCTCTCCAGTGCATTTAATGCACCTTCTTGCCTCCAATTTCAAATTGATCAACTGTCAGTGTTCACATTCAATACTTCCTCTGCCAAACACTCAGGAGAGAAAGGAACACCGTCTAGAAACAGGGCTATTTGAGTTTTGATCATTCATAAATGTTCACTTTGCAATTAGAAAAGTCAAATAAATGTTTAGAAAACTACATAATGTGGCCAATCATAATAATCTTTCCTCTCGAATACTCTCTGTATGTCCCAATAGTAAAGCCTGGAAAAGAAGGCTATTTGTTGTAAAATGATGCACTTTTGATTTGATTTTGACTGTACCCAAAATCAAAACAACGTTAACGCCAAGGCACTGCAGTAGAGGAATTTGAAATTGATTTACCAGAAAATCTAAATCCCGCCCAGTTATTTTGATCGAGAAAAATGACCTCTGTTTGGAAATGAATCATGTGATCCAAGTCGATTGTTTTCTGCAGAGACAAACTCACATGTCAAATTCAATTAAAATGTAGTACCATTAAACATCCTGCACCTCACACTGAGAAAAATGACCAACCATCGAAGCACTGGTAACCCTCGGGGTCCCTTTGCTTAATGTGAATGTCAAAACTGGACAGAAATCGGTTCAAAATCATCAAGGTCAGAGAGGAGGCAGACTGACAGACAAACATAGGAACACAACAACAAGATTGCATTTATAGAGCGCCTTTCACGTCGGGAGGACGTCCCAAGGCGTAGGAACACAGAGAAAAGGCAGAGAACACCAGGTAAGAGACAGAGAAAAGAATGGGGAAGAGGAAAAGACACAAAAACAGATAGTGATTTCAAAATAACGAAGAGCAGAACTTACAGTAAAATAGGTGAGAGTGCCAAGTGGAGAGAAAAAATGAACAGAAAGAAAGACTGACATATTGAGAAAGATAGACAAGTAAGATTAATAGTGGCTTGGTTGGATGCATTTGAAATTGCATAGCTGTGTGGTTGTGGTGGGAAAGAGGCTCATATAGAGTATAAACATCACCTGGACTGAATGGCTTTTATCCATTCCATGTAATTCTAACATTCTACAGGTTAACGTTAATAGGACTGAGGCTCTCCCGCTTGGCTCCAATCAAAACTTTCTCCCCTCAGGCACTGTCTGCATAGAGCTGCATGGATGCTCATTCATCTCAAGTACTTCCTCTCTCCCCCTCGTTCAAGGTACCTTTATGATCGTGGTTTTGGTCCTCTTTCCCCCCTCAGCTCCTACTCTCAACTCTGGTGCCCAAGTCAGGATTGTCAAGCACTTTGGGAAGTCCTCACAACGTGAAAGACGCTATACAAGCACAAATTGTATTGTGGAATTTGGAGTCTTGTTCAACTCCCTACATCTGATTGTTGCATCTAAGCTCTCACCCACTTGGCTTTCCCTCACCTACTCAATATGACCCTCCTACATCATGACTTCTCTCCTCAAGTTGCTGAGACTCTCACCCCACCTTCATTATGTCCAGGCACGATTATCGCAACTCCCTTTTCGCCAGACTCCCGATCCCCAATCTACTCAATCAGTAGACTGTCCAGAACTCTGCACCTCTCCCGCACCAGGATTCCACAAACCCATCAACTCTACCTTTAATTGGCTCCACTGGTTCCCCACTCCAAGTGGATCAAATTCAAGATCAAGATTCAAATTCATCATAACTTTCAAATGCTCCCATGGCCTCACCCGATCGACATCCTTGCCTTCAAAGTCTACCTTAAGACCCATGTTTTTGACCGAGCTGTTGGCTACCTATCCCCCCAACACCCTCTCTCTGCTACTCAAAAGGCTGACTAATAAGAATCAATGAAGGTATCTAGCTAATCCGTTTCTGCCAAAGATTGTGTGAACACAGGGTTCAACTGTGTTTTGGAATATTAAATAGAGGAAGGGGAGAAATGAGATTAGCCATACATGACCTCTCCATGCTGCATAATTGGACACCATGTACTGGACACATAAATAGAGCTATTAAAACTGTTTATTTCTATCACATTATAAGAATTGGTTAAGTATCTCGTCAATCTTTCCCATATTCATGCACTGCAGAGTGAAAACGCTGTCCATGCACGAAGTGCACAAAACTACAGAAACCTTGTGAATGGGCCAGAGTGTCAAGATGACCGAGGTTCCACTTATTCCTTTGCTTTCACTCCAAAATGACCAGAATTCAGTAGAGCAATTTAAAAACCAAAACAGATACAGACAGATACAGAGGGAATTATTCTACTGAAAGATGTCAAAGTTAACTGCGATACATGTCTGGTATCAAAACCCAGGTCGTGGTGGAAAAACAGGAATTCCAGAATGACCTAGATATGTGAAACACTAAGCTGTTTAGTGGTATTATCATAGAACATCACATTACATGAAAAATGTTAAGCCACTCAAAATATTAAAAGCAGATTAAAATCAGATAGATTCAAATCTTTAAAAATAAAACAGATCAAATGGACAGAATGGTCTATGTGCAAAATCTGAGCCAGATTACACAATAAAATTATTAAAAGTTACATTTATTTTATTTAAAGGATAGATGCTTGCGTTATAAATGGATTTACGGTAAGCTTTAGCCTCAAACATTAAGCTTTGCTTCTGCTGTTTATATCATCAGAAGCTCTTGAATTAGATGAAATTCTTGTCATACTCACAACCATCCTGACTTCAACATGAAGTGCATTAAACTTTGGCAAGAAGCATAAAGGCTTTAAAATAACACAATTCAGTTTCACATCCAAATACTCAACTGGGAGACTACCACATGGATCAGTCTATGACAACCAGAACCAAGCATGTTAAAACCAATGAATAATTGAAACCCCAAATTTACATTTCCATTGCCCTACATTTTTTTCTGATCATCAATATCACCAGACTGGACTGAAGCAGAGCAGCCTCTGAAATTGTACCTCTGTTGCCCTCAGTGGGAAAGTGGAGGTATTACATTCATCATATGGAATCCATTTTAAACGTAAAGTTCAACCAGTTTGGGGCCAACCTGCAGCAGAGATTGCTACAAGTCAAGGAGTTGGAGTCGACCAGATTCCTTTTAGACACCAACTTAAAACACTGCACTTCATCAAAACAAATAACGGAACTAATGCACACGTACTAACTTCCTGAACTAGTATCACTGCCATGCAACAACCCAGTTGAGAATTTCTAAAGTTTAGCTGCTACAGACACACTGAAATACTAGTTGGCCCTGGCTTCAACCCTACAGACCAGCTGAAAGTAAAGCCTCAATCTATTTGAGTTGCCAGGCAACACTAATCTCTGCTCAATGCCAACAAGAAAATGAAGGCACATTGTAAGGAAGCACAGAATTGAAGTTAGACTCAATGAACCTGTTTATGATGACACAAACAAGTTAACGATTTGTCTGCTTCGCTTACATCCCATTGCTGCCTTCCAGTCACTCCTCCTTCCTACTTGTAGAGAGGCCAATTAGGAGCGTCAACCTCCACTTATATGTAGTGCGCTCAGATGTGCTAATTAAATAGGCCATCTCTCTCCTCCTCCAGAGCAAAGCACCCTATACTTCTTAGTTTCAATTGAGCACAAGAGATGAAAGCAGGCTGTTTGAATATCAATCAAGTGTGGGATGAAAGCTTTTGACACTTGAGTTCAATCTTCTATCACTAGAGAAATTGGACAATCTCTTGTGCTGGACTAGTTTAAATAAAATACCAGACAGTTTGACTTAAAAGTGAGAAACAGAGTTACAATCTTCCAATAAATGTTTTGTCAAGAAGAATTAAAAAGAGACAGTGTATTGTTATGACACGTAGTCAGTACCATTCGCCGTTCTTTGACTTCAAATAGAAGCACAGTAATTTTGGGATGTAACAAAGAATTAAAAATGGAGAACAGTCTCATATCTTGGTTGAAGAGGCTCCAAGTTGTGCATTAGGAGCACGCAAGGAGTCAGCATAATGAAAATCACTGAATCAGAATAAATACATAGGTTCGTAAAAAGCCTTCAGAAGCAGGTTTTCAACATGCAGGAACAATGCAGTGAGTGCAATGCACACCTGGCCAAGCATTTGTACTGTTGGCCATTGTCCAGTAGGTAAATGTGCTGGCTTCTGACTGGTAGATTGGGGTTAATTGTTCAGACAGAACTGCTGCCTAATGTCACAAGATTGTGATTGTTCCCTCCAGTTTGTCCCATGCGGTTTCATTTCAGCTGTCCATTTCTGAAAACTTCCTTTTGCCATAGCTCTGAACCAGGTGGGAGGTGGTGATCTGGACAGCCTTCCCCTTCTCCCAGCTTTGGAAGTCATTCAAACTCTTCTGTCCAGCGTGGAACAACCCCCGCTCCAGCTCATCCAAATGGGCCACCAGCACCGACGTGTCCTCATTATACGCGTTCTGGGAAGAATCCATGATGCGACGAAAGCGACTAACAAATGTCTGTGTGAAAAACAAACAACTTAGGAAAACTTTACAGAAACACAGATTTGAAAGAGCAGCTTGGTTTGCCTCAAAATCAAATGCCCTCAAGGTACTTTCCAATAAAAGAATAACCATTTTAATAGGCTTCATCGTCATCATAATAATAATAATCCTTGCATTTGATAAGCGCTTTTCACGTCTTCTAGAAGTCTCAAAGCGCTTCACAGAATATACTGTAAGGACTGTACACTTTCAATTACTGTTCAATAATCACAGCCAACCCCATGCTAAAGGGACAACAGTTATTGGGTACATTTGCTGTTCCAATATATGTTACTCGTTCAAATATACAATATCAGTTTCATACACATTATAATTAATTAGACATTCCTTAGTTCATCTACTTAAACAGTCCAAATCCTTTGAATGTCACCAGCATTTTTTTTATTCCAAGCAGCAGCATCTTCTGTTGAATTAGTAGATTACCTAACACTACAGACTTCAAAGAACCAGAACCCTAATTGCTCTGAACTTCATCTCATTTTTCAATCACATAATTAGTCTATACTGACAGTGCTAAGCTCTGTACTGTATTATTTTGACTAGAGGCTCTGGCTGCTCCACGTCCCCCGACTCACCCATCCCACCATTGGCGGGAGAGCCTTCAGCCTTCAGCCCCAACCTCTGGAATTCCATCCCCCAGTCACTCCGCCTCGCCCCCTCCTTAGCCTCCATCAAGTCCCGCCTCAAGACCTTCCTCTTCGACCATGCCATTGGCCAGGCCCCCTTCCCCTCCCCTCCCTTACCCCCCCAACCCCAGCTCGGGTCTGAAATGCTGTACTCTGTCCAGTGCCTTGGGACGTCCTCCCGACGTGAAAGACGCTATACAAATGTAATCTTCTTGTTGTTGTTGTTGTTGTGGAGGTTAGACTGTTAATTTTCAGTCGCATCGCTTAAAATTGTGAAAGGTATGTTTTTCACTGGACTCATAATTATCACATCGACAATGGTTTATAAAGGACTAGCATTTTTATAATGCATTTTGAATTACAGCAAAGCTCCTCACAATTATTGTCTGGCGCAGTCACTGTTTTCGCAGCAAACATAAACGCCATGTCTGCCAGCAAAGACCTACAAACCGCCACGAAATTAATGGTCAATTAACATTGGGAGAATCTCCCTCCCTCAGACATTGCCATGTGACATTCAATACCCATCTAAAAGAAGATAGACACAATCTCACTTTAATGTCTCATTCAATATCAGCACATGTATTAATCCAGCACTGGATTGTTAGCCTAGACTTTAGGGAATCTAGGAGTTCTATAGCTCAGTGGTTACAGCACTCGCCTCGCAAGTGAGAGACATGGGTTCAATTCCTGGCAGGACGAAACCTTGGGCAAGTTTCCTTACTCCACACGCCTGATAATACTCCCTCAAGAAAAAAAACATTAATAAATTTGGTCACTTCAATCCACCACTGTTTCTGGGACACTGCTGTGTGCAATTGGCTGCTGCGTTTCACCCACAAATGTACAGTCAATTCACTTTACAGAATATTCTGTGAAGCGCTTTGAGACGTCTGTCAGTACAGTCTACACTATGAAGTGGAATTTGACTCTGTATTTTATGGGCGAAATGTGGCAGCCAATGCGCATAGCAATATCCCACATTCAGCCATGGACTGAGTGACCAATTTAATTTGGGGGATTGTTGGCCAGGGTACCAAGAGAAACTCCCTTCTCTTTTCGAACAGTGCCATGAGATCTTTAACATCCACCTGAACAGGCAGACAGGACCTCAATTTAACATCTGAAGGACAGCACCTCCAACAATGCAGCACACCACTAGCACCACATTGAAGTGTCAGCTTAGACTATGTGATTCGAAGTCACGACGTGAGGTTTGAACCCACAACCTTCTGACTCAGACACACAAATGCTACCACTTAGCTATACTACACAAGTATTTCAGGGAGTATTTCAGCACCCTGCATATAAACATACACAAAGACACGTTTGCATGAAAGCAGCTAAGAACAAATATCTGTCAACTTTCCTTTCTTCTCTGTTGTTGGACCACATACTTCTGCATCCTCTATCAATGGCACTCTGTTAAACCTAAAATAACTATCGATCTTTGACAAATACACTTTCAATTGCAACAAACTGGAACCACACTGGGAACTCACCTGTAAGATTGTCTGAGCAATCTCCGTGTTCTCTGGGCTTTCAAAATTCAGCAGCTGCGTCCCAAACCCATAATAATACGGCCCCATTTTGTGCAGGTCCACGACATTTGCATCGGCGTTGAAGATTGTCCGCCATCTTCCATTATATATTTTTGGGGCACTGACGGAGACAATACGGCGCTTGGGATCACTAAGTCCTTTGGCCAGCCAAAGAGGTAGCTCCATTTTAGTGGCCTTGGGAAAGATCATGAATAAAAATCAATTTACAAAAAATGTTTTTTAACAAATAAACACACAAAACTACTCAGTCAGAAATTGAATGTTGTAGACAATGCTCTGTATTATTATTTGTATTATTTCACGTAGGGAGGACGTACTTAGGAGGGTGAAAATCATCATGGTTCTGTGTTCCAAGATTTTCTTTGCACATTGAAAACCTTAATTCTCTGTACATTCAATATTTTAAAAATCTACCTTTTCATTTGTACTTCAGTCACCAATCTTCTATTGGTTACCCGCATGTCCTTATTTATAAATTTATTTTGAATGGTGTTGCAAATACCACAAGCTCTACAGCATACTCATCAACCATCTACTTAGCATATTAGTCCTAATACACTACAGAAAATGCACATTCAAACAAAATTTGTCTGAATATATAAACTTAAGTTGCTTTAACTTCTTCACCTTCAACTCAAGTGTTATGTGATGTGAAAGTGCTCTCTGTAAGCCCAATATGAAACAACAAAATTTATTACTGCATAGCTGGTTCTTTTTCAAAATGAAAGATCACGCAGTGTAAAACGATTATTTAAATGCCACTGCAAATGTACAAAACAAACAGGTGGCCAGGACCCTTACTTGTACCTCTTCAATTGACTTCACTTTAATGCCAGCTACCCGAGTGGTAAATAACAACAACAAAATTTCATTTGTACAGCGCCTTTCACGGAGAGGACGTCCCAAGGCGGCGCTGGACAATCAGTGCTTCGGCGCAGAGCAACAGAGGTGTTAGGTTGCAAAACCACTTATTTAAATCTAGTTGGATTTTGTGTTCAGATTTAAGAGTGAGCAGCTGTTCAATCTCCAGTCTGTGGCATCGTAATCGGAAGTGTGTCTTAAGTTTAAGGTATGAGGTAAGAGAAATCAGCGAGTGACCTCTGCTTGGAGGAGGCAGATTGAGGACATGTCAAGTGAGGAGAGGCTCCGGCTTGGCTTCCCCTCCACCGCCTGTCAGAATGTAATGTGATGTCCTACCTGAGCAAAGCAATGAGCTTTCAGGGCCCTTCGACAGTAACCCGCACTTGTCAGGCAGAATCATAATCCCTCCAAAAACCAATAACAATAATAAATTGGTCATATTCAATCCACGACCGTTTGTGGGACATTGCTGTGCGCAATTGGCTGCCGCGTTCGCCCACAAATATACAGTCAATTCACTTTACAGTGTGTTCTGTGAAGCGCTTTGGGGCGTCCTCCCGACGTGAAAAGCACTATATCAAATACAAGTATTATTATTATTAAGTCAAACGTCAGGATTATTTTCCAGGACGTACGTGACAGGTTCCTGGTTACTTTCCGGACAACAGTCACTTCAGTGGCCCCTCCTTTGCGCGGGCAGTCGCCGAAAAAGAAAAAAAGATTCTTTACAATCGTAATCCTTGCATTTTGATCCAACGCCTGAGCAGGTCTTCAGCGGCGGGGGGGGGGGGGGGGGGGTGCAGTGAAGTGTAGTGACTGTGCAGTTTGTGGGCGAAGTACACAACGAAATAAGTGCACGATAGAAGCTTTACCTCGGGGATGAGGGGGGCCTCGCCGCTCTTGTCCAGGAAGCCGAGCCGCGGCAGCGCCGTCTCGGTCTGACAGGGCAGCTTCTCCTGGGTCATCAGGATATCGTCCAGACTGAAGAAGCTCTCCTCCGGGCCGCCGGGGGCCACGGGCAAGTAGGAGTCGGAGCGCGGCATTGCACGGAGGGATTCCCCGGGAGCGAACACCCCGCCAGCACCCACCGGGAGCTTAAAGTCACCGCCGCCGCCGCTCCGAACACCACCGCAGCGAGTGGACGCCCCGAATCTCCCGCCCGAACAACCAATCGAGCGTCGATCGCTCTTCGTCGCACTCACCCACCCAGGGAACCCGAGTGGAGCGCAGAGCCACCGATGCCCGCTGACGTCACGCGCGAGCCTCTCGGCGGATCCTTCGACCGGGAAACGCCACGCGGCGGCGAGGAAGGCCTTTCCCCTCTCTGTGGGGTTTTTTTTTGAAGGAAAAAGAAAGCGTAATCCCCCCCCACCCCCCGCCCCCGCGGAGACCTCGGGCTCTCCGAGCGGCTCCGGCCCCCACTCACTCACTCCCCTCGTCATGGGTTGTCCAGAAATCAAAACTACCTTTGTTGCCCTCAAATCAACCCCACAAACACCAGCCCCAAAAGTAGCCCAATATCTGCAGCCGAGAGGCTAATTTAGGTTAATGCTTTCGAAACTGGATTTAGTTTTTTTTTCCTTAAACAAAAAAAGGTGGCGGGCGTAAAGGTTTTTCTTGCGGGTTTAAACCAAACATTTGTTTTTCTCTCGGGAATGAGGCATCCGCCCACACGCGGGTTTTTTTTACACGCGGAGAATTACCGCCCAATTTACCGCGTGACATCTGCCCAATCGGGTGACGGTACGCCCCGGGTCCGGGGCACGTGACTGTGACTGGGGCACGGGCTTGTGACGTCAGCGGCCGGGCGGGTGGCGGCGGTTGGAGTTTGAAAAAGGAGGGAGTCGCGAGGCGACTCGACGGCGCCGGAGGGCGAGTGAGGGTCCGTCCGTCCGGGAGGGAGTGGAGTGAGGGGGGTGTTGGCCGCGAGTTCGACGGGAAAAAGGCGAGGGGGCGGCGGCGGCGGCCGCTTCAAATGGACTGGGTGGCCAAAAAGAACGACGCCCACGGCCAGGCTTCCGCCGAAAGCGGCTCGACGTCCAAGATGAGGGTCTCGTGGGAGCCGCGCTCCACACAGTACGAACGCGATGTCACTCGCTCCAAGTTCTACGAGGAGTTGGTGGAGGAGCTGCGCCGGAAAATGTGGTAAAGATGACTTGCGAGGCTCGGCTTTCACAGCTCGGGGCCGCGCGGCAGGAGGTGGCGGCGAGGCAGGAGGAGGCGGTGAGGACGGCCCCGACAGGGTGGCGCGTGCAGCACCGGGTGACCAGGGCCCCGGGGGGGGGCGCCCCCGGTGATAGCGCCGCCACCCAACGCTGCGCGCATTTGTATTGGACGATGGCTTTGCTCTCCGGAGTGTCGAAAACCGACCACGAGTTCCACTTGTGCTCGCAGCCTCCCTACCCCACGGCCCGGAACGTGCATCCTCTCCCCATCGGGAGGTGTCCCCGGCTTACCTCGTCCTCGAGTATGATCCTTGGGGATCAGCCCGGGGGTGTGCCTTGGGGGGCACTGCTGGAGCGGGAACCGAATGGGAGGAATCCTTCCCTCAAGAGGGTGGAGTGCTGGAGCTCAGCGGTTCGAGCACTAAAGCGAAGAGACCTGAGTTCAATTCCAGGCAGAGGGCGAAACCTTGGGCAAGTTTCCTTACTCCACACAGAGCCTAATAATAATCCTCCAAAACCAAAAACAATAATAAATTGGTCATTTTCAATCCACGACTGTTTGTGGGACATCGCTGTGCGCAATTGGCTGCCGCGTTCGCCCACAAATATACAGTCAATTCACTTTACAGTGTGTTCTGTGAAGCGCTTTGGGACGTCCTCCCGACGTGAAAAGCGCTATATCAAATGCAAGGATTATTAGCCCTTCCAAGTCTTGACGATGAGCCAGGTTGTCTGGTAGTGCCTTGTATTCACATTAGGATAATTTAAAATCAGTCAGTTTCTTAGCATATTCCTTTCTTGCAGCTGTCACAAATCCCGGGAATCACTGTTTAGTTCTTCCAGTGGATTTTACAACTATCGTGGAATTTTGAATTGGGCTGTGATTGTACTGGTAGGTACCTGGGTCTTTCTGGCAGCGATTCTTATATACTGTATCTTTGCAGTCTTTGCAACTCGGTGCTCAGCTCAGTTAGTCCTTCACCCCACTTGGCTTCCACTGGCTTCCCACTGCCAAGTGGATCAAATTCAAGATTCTCATATTCACTTTCAAATGCCTCTTCCGTGGCCTTGCCCTCGCCTACCTACCTCTGCAAGTTCCTGCAACTCTATTGCCTTCTTCCTCTCAGTAAATGCTGACCTGCCTCACTTCGCCTGCCAGCTACATACACCCTCAATCGGTGGAGGAGCATTCGTTTGAGAGGTCCTCTGCCTTGCCCCTGCTTTTCTTTCAAACCCATCTTTTTATGATTTCTATCAGACAGTGCTTTCATCCACCTTATACCCACCCCTATCCGCAGCTCACAGTCAGTTGTCTCAAAAATCAATGTATTTAATTCAGACTGCTTTAGTTCTTTTAAAATAATAGTCCAAAAATAGCAAGAACTGTACAACAACAACAACAAGATTCCATTTATTGAGCGCCTTTCACGTCAGGAGGACGTCCCAAGGCGCTGTACAGTTGGGTCAGGACCCGAGCATGGGGGAAATGGTCAGGGTGAGGGGAGGGAAGGGAGGGAGCGAGGAGGGGGTAGAGAGTCGAGAGGGTACAGCATAGTAACAGACTTGTCCAGCTTTTCATAGCATATGTTGAACACTGCTTGTTCCAGTCTTACTAAGGCCCACTTCATGGTCTCTTCCTCCACTACATTTATGACCATGTTGATACTTTACCCTGTTTTGCTTTGATCTCAAGAAGCTCATTGACTGCTTCTCAGATCCATAGGTTCCTTGCCTTTAGTTATTTTCAAAAAGCCGGCACAGAAACGATGGCCCGAATGCCTCCTTCTGTACTGTATAATTCTATGATTGTTTGGTCCATCTTTGACTCCCCTCCTCTTACTTTTCACTCTTTTTCATAGATAATGACCTTTGCACCAATAATCATAATAAATCTGAATACTCCTATAACTAGCTGTACAGTAGGTAGCTATTCATAGTATTCTAGGAACTATATTATAAATACTTTAACATACTTTAAATGTTTGAAGAAGGCTGTCAGTTAAAGTTACCTTCAAGAAGCTACTAGTGTTCTTGCACAGGACGATTATACTTCACAACAGCCCACTATATCCTTCACCAGAGTCTCTCACCAGCACCGCTTTCTTCCACCTCCGACACATTGCCCGTCTCCGCCAATACCTCACTCCAAAAGCCACTGAAACCCTGGTCCATGCCTTTGTCACCTCTCGGCTGCACTATTCAAACACCCTCCTCACCGGTCTCCCCTTCACTACCATCCATAAAATCCAGGTCATTACAAAACTCTACCGCCTGCATTCTTACTCGCACCAAACTCTGCTCCCCGATTACCCCAGTCCTTGCCAGACTGCACTGGCTACCTGTCCTAGAGAGGATCGACTTCAAGATCGTCACCCTTGTCTTCAAATCCCTCCACTCCTCTGCACCCCCTACCTCTCTGACCTCCTTTCTCCTCAAAACAGTGCCTGTTGTCTTCGTTCGACCGGGTTTGGCCTCCTCCTTGTCCCCCGAGTCCTACACTCCACCCTCAGCGGGCGTGTCTTCAGCCACTACGCCTCAAGGCTCTGGAACTCCCTCACTCCCTTCGCCTCGTCCCCTCTCTTCCTATTTTTAGGTCTCGGCTGAAGACCTTTCTTTTCGACTGCACCTTTGGTCACCTCCCTCTCACTGGCTCGGCCCCGGGATCCGTTACTGTGAAGCACTCTGAGATGCTGTCCGGTGTGGAGGACGCAATATAAATCCAAGTTGTTGTTACATTTGTGAGCTAGGCAACAATTTAATATCTCAGTTTGAATGTTTATATATTACCTACCTACTCTATTTATTTAGTGAACGGAATTATTGTATAATCTGTTTCTGTTCTTTCCCAGATTTTGACTCATGCTCATATGGTTTTGGAAAACCTAATGACGTATGTATTGAACCAACGATTGTTAATAGTTTCTGTTTTAGATTATATTGGTAGGAACTCTTTTTGTATTAGGAGATGTGATGAACTCTTCAAACTATAATAGTGATAGTAACATAAAGTCAATCTGTTTCATAATAGGAAGATGGGTAATGGTTAAGCCTGGATTGTGTTGACACTGATTCCCAAATGGGGAATTTTGTTATTATTGTATAATTGATATTTTCAGCTCAAGATTCAATATGAATTAATTGAGTCCAAGACCAGCAACATTAAAGCTGAATAACCAAACCACCAGTATAGGTTTCTATTGAACCATTACCAACATGTTACCAACATACCAATGTTGTGTGTGGATTGGCATACCTTAGACATTAAATCAACAACAAAAATTACATTTGTAAAGCGCCTTTCACGTTGGGAGGATGTCCCAAGGTACTCATCAGTCAGGAATCAGGACCCGAGTGTGCAGGGCGGGGCAGGTTAGGGATGAGGGAAGGCACGGTCAAAAAGGAGGATTGAGTCGTGCCTTGAAGGAGGCAAGAGAGGGAGCAAGGCAAAGGGATTGTGGGATGGAGTTCCAAAGAGTGGGGGTAGAGAGGCTGAAAGCCCGGCCACTGATGGTAGGGCGGGATGGGTGGGAGACCTGGAGCAGGCTAGAGCTAGGTTGATAGGGGTCAGCAGGTCAGAGATGTAGAAGGGGACAAGGCCGTGGAGGGCCTTAAAAGTGAGGACAGGGATTTTGAAATCTAACCTCTGAGGGATGGGGAGCCAGTGGAGCCAGGCAAGAGTGGGGCTGATGGGGTAATGGGGCCTGGTACTGGAGAGGATAGAAGCTGCAGGTTCTGGATGATCTGCAGCTTGTGGAGGGAAGAGTTGGGGAGGCCGACAAGGAGGGAGTTTCCTTGAGGTGACGAATAGGTGTATGAGGGTTTAGGCGGCCTGAGGGGTGAGGCAGTGGCAAAGTCAGGCAATGTTACGGAGGTGGGGAAAGGCAGAGTGGTCATGGCATGGATATGAGGGAGAAAGAACAGTTGAGGGTCGAACAAGACGCCTAGGTTCCTAACTGGCTTGGTAAGGTGGAATGTGCAACCGTGGATGATGATGCTGCCAGTGCCTGAGGAGCTGAGGCGCTGGCGCAAGCCAATCAGGGCCTCAGTCTTGCTGACATTCAGCTGTAAAAAGTTGGTTCTCACCCAGGACTTGATGTCAGATAGACAGTCTGTCAGGACATCAGTTATCCTAGAATTGAGGGTGGAGGCAGAGAGATAGAGTTGGGCGTCATCTGAGTACATGTGAAAGTTGACCCCCAAGTCTGTGGATAATGTCACCAAGGGGGAGCATGTTGAAGAGGAGGGGACCGAGGACAGAGCCCTGAGGAACACCAAATGAGACGGTGTGGGGGCTGGAAGAGAAACCATTGGCGGAGACAAATTGGAGATGGTGTGAGAGATAAGACCTGAACCATTCAAGGATAGAACCTTGAAGGTTGAGAGGAGAGGCGGTGGAAGAGGATGGAGTGGTTCATGGTATCGAAGGCAGCAGTGAGGTTGAGGAGGCAAATGTCGTTTGTCACCTCGACCAGAGCAATTTGAAGCAGCACGGAAACCTGATTGGAGGAGCCTGTGAAGGGAATGGTAGGAGAGGAATGAGCGAAGCTGGGAACCAACAATTCTTTCAAGGACTTTCGAAAGAAAACCGAAGTTAGAGATGGCCATTGACAGCTACATTGTAGGCTGTTCTGGAACTTCTTTGAAACCTTGGGCAAGTTTCCTTACTCCATATGCCTAATAATAATCCCTCCCAAACAAAAAAACAGTAATAAATTGCTCATTTTCAATCTACGACTGTTTGTGGCACATTGCTGTGCGCAATTGGCTGCCACGTTCGCCCACAAATATACAGTCAATTCACTTTACAGTATATTCTGAAGCGCTTTGGGACGTCTAGAAGACGTGAAAAGCGCTATATCAAATGTAAGGATTATTATAATTTTTTCACTGTTCCAGAAACATTCGTTCATATGGTGGAATTTGCTTTATTAACTTTCCCACACAAAAAAGTAACTAATTTGAGTTAAAAACACTTCAATTGTTTCAGGGTGAAAACACTGGAATTTTGATCCATTGATTTTTTTTAATGTTTGTATTGTGTAATATTCAGTTTCAGGTGCAATATTGTTATTGATGAATGAACTTTTGGTACAGGTATGGATTCCTCGTAGATCCTGTTAACATTGTGGCATTCCTTTTGAGTGATCCCTACACTTGGCCAGCTCCATATATGATTGCTGGTGAGTGATAATTTTTCATGAAAAGCATACTGAATGAGAATTTATCTGCATTAGGCTTAATATTATACTCTATAAGCTTTCATATTTTACCTTCTTTAAATTTACATCATTTTTTTGCAAAGATAAATCTTTTGGAATTCCAATAAAACATAATAATAATCTCAAAGCAGTTGATGGTATTTAGTGGCTGGATATTTTGTAGATGATATAGCATTTACCATTAAGCCTAAATTTCAATGGCTTGGTAAGCATCGGAGAATCATCCAGTCAATTAAAATGATGTGTTATTTATTACCAGAGCCACAAACATTTGAGGAGATATGATTGTCCCTTCCAAATGGGCTTCCAATTTAGCACTGAATTTAAAAATTTTCCACAATTCTGCATGATCTTAAATTCTAAGATAAAATGGTTTTAGGCAAAGACTAGGTGAAATTTGGGACTCAGGTATTTTATTGGTACTACTGATATGCGTGTTTTATTCGAATATGCTATAGTTCTGTGGATAATGTCACCAAGGGGGAGCAAATTTTGCTTCTGTTAATCTCGTAAATCACTAATCAATCAAAAATGTGTTTTCTTTCAGTGGCAAATATATTTATCTTTGCTGCACTTCACGTGGAAAGATCATTGTCAGCAGTAAGTGAATCTTCAGTACTAATTCACTTTTTAAAATTGTGACGTCTCAAAGCGCTTCACAGAATATACCGTAAAGTGTAGGGACTGTATATTTGGTGGGTGAAACGCGAGAGCCGCACACAGGAGTGTCCCACGAACAGTCGTGGATTGAGTTACGAAATTATTATTATTTTGTAGGGTTTGTTACCGCCGGAAAGTGATCTGCCAAACGACTAACAAGGGGGTTCCTACTTTCTGGGAGGTAAACCGAGGCGTGTGCGCTAAGGACACTTCCCCAACATTTTGCCCTGAACGGGAATTGAACCCAAGTCCTCTCGCTTGCGAGGCGAGCAGGCTAACCACTACGCTACAGGACTCCAAGAAAACAAAGTTGATATTTTGCAGTATACTATAGAATTCCCCTACCCCATGAATCAATTTAGGACTCCAGCAATTCATTGAGATTAATTCACTCTTTTTCCCACCCATGGAACTTTTTAAACTCTTATCCAGTGGCAAACGCCATAACTCCCAGATCAGTTAGTGCACCAGTCAGATGCAGACAATGTGCACTTTATGCTGGCTCAACTCAAATATAATTTCATTACCCAGTGGGTAATTAAATTAACTGGAACTAGTGAGGCTGATTGAGGTCACGATGCTGAAACTCATTTAAGAAACAGCTTGATGCTGGAATGGGGGGATGGTAGGGTGAGTATTCTGGAAGGATGAGATCAAATGAGCCTTCTTTATCTGAATCTCTTTTGTGATCTTGTGTGATCTTTTGAGAATTACCATTTTATCAAACTCCACTGCACCGGTACAAATTTTATACAATGTCAACTGAGTTATTAATCATTTCCCACGTTTCTTCTGTTTCCTATCCCAATCTTCCTTTTGGTTGTAGTGAATGATCCAGCTAATTTAGTTCCATAATGTACAGAATTATAGTTAATTTGGTGCTGTTGATGTACGGCCTGAACTGAGTGGACAGTATCCAAACTCATTTCACAGTTAGCAGAGATATTTTGATAACATCATTTTGTGCAGGATTGGAATATTGGTCAAATAATGCTGTTGTCAAATGCAACATTAATTTATACTTGGTTGTAGCAATAGAATGTGTATTAAATGTAAGATAATAGATATCTAATCTTACATTAGCGATTAACAAATCAATTGTTTCAGATAATTTTATAAATAGGCAAGTATTTATGAATATCATCAGAACTCTATATCCTCAAGATGTACAACAGAACTAACTGTAACACAACTCTAGATAATATTTATCAATGGCAAACTAAGCAGGCTTGTTTACATTTGCAGATGGCAATGTCTGAAAGATCAGGCCATACCTTCCAGATGTCAAATCTTGCAGTTATTCTAATATTACCACTGTTTGTGCTTAATGTATTGACGTCAGCTACTGCAGGTTAGAAATGCCTTCTACCTTCCAAATTTTGTTTAAAAATGTTCAATTCGATAGTTTCATTTCATTCTTTCAGTAACTTTAAGAAGATTTCAAGTTCAACCACCAGAATAAGAAGGACTTCCAGCTAAAGATCCATGTGACAGAAAAGCAAGTGGCAAAGCTATTTGTTTTGGAATCTATTGAAGAAGTTGGTATTGTAGTTAGTAGATTACCTGGAGCAGAATCGATTCTGGTTAACATGAGCATATCCTCCAGCTCACTTTAAACAATAGCATACATGTGGTGTATTCAGAAGTGCAAGAAATTGTAGATAGTACAATGGAATTGTATGTCTGAAGTCAAGTGAAGCTTGCCTTTGCTTCATCTGACAGCCACTTGAAAGTATCTCTGCTGTAAGCCTGATAGGGTCTTCTATTTGCTTAACTTTTTGAAGGCACGTCAAGATGATCTGAGCATTCATTACAAACCAAGATTTTTACATCCATCTTCACTATTATTCTCCCTTACTGACAGGTTTGAACCCATGGAAATGCCATGTTGTGGAAGTATGCAATAGAGATTAGAATTTTGAATTTAATTGTCCGAAACCAGCTATTAACATGTCATTTGTATAAGGCACATATTATGCAAAAAATAATTTGATTTTCACTTTCATTATTGGAGTCGTGTCTTGATTTGCATTCAAACACAAACAAAACACTCACAATCAGTTCTACATTGTTGGTGGATTGTGCAGTTACTTACAACTCTTGCCTTTTCTTTGGATAATTCATGCATACAGGTGGGTCAATGATGGTCTTAATCGTGTATAGCATTCTATTACTGAAGCTGTACTCATACCATGAGGTGAATAAGTGGCTCCGAGAGGAATGGGCACCTTTAGGTCTGAGGTCAGCCATGAAGAAACCAGGTCTGTTCGTGTTAATCATTCCCAAATAATCCATATACAAATATTTATTTTGAAGTATTTGTTTTATGTTATGATGTAGCTTTTAATCTTATATAAATGCCCCCTAGGTATTTCATCATGTGCGAATCGAGGAAGTGATCAGGAAAGTCGATCTGACCTGGTTACTTATCCTGACAACCTGACAGTAGCTGGTATAGTTTTTAGTTTTCATTTTCCCCCGCATATAATGTAACTGCTAATTTGGGTATTGTAGGGAAGAAGAGTAAGAGTAAGACTGAAGTAATTTAAGAAAGTACAGTTTTAGTTATGTTAACCTAGATTTACTCTTGGTAGACAGTGCATGGTTTGTAAATGAGCAAATTAAATCAGCTTTCCTATCAATCCTAACAGTGGTTGTAATTCTTTCTGCCAGAAGTAGCACATAGCATCGTTATCAATGAGCTGGTGTGAGTACCCAACGATAAGGCCTACATTTCCATTTTGCATTTGAAACAATGAATCTACAGTCTTGAGAGAAGATGACTCAGAGGGGGACCTCACAGAATTGTACAAAATATTAAAAGGGATTGAAAATGTAAATCCAGATCAGTACTTCAGGATGTATCAAAACAGGAGAATAAGAGGACATAGTTGTAAAGCGCCTTGGGTCGTCCTCCGGACATGAAAGGTGTTATACAAATGTAATTTGTTCTTGTTGCAAAAGGCAATTTCAGGAGAGATACCAGCAAGTTTTTGTTTACGCAGAAGGTGAACAATGACTAAAATAGTATGCCAGGAAAGGCGGTAGAGGCCACAACACTAGATTCATTTAAAAAGCCCTTTGATGGGAGAATAGTAGTGTAGGTGTTCTGAAGGGATAAGATCAGGGTCCATTCTTTGCATGTCATATTTGTAACAGAAATTGTAAAAATGTGTAATAGCTTGTAATAGACAGCATTTTAGTCCACTTCTAATAATACGGCAGAGGTTGAATTATTCATACATACTACCTCAGTAATTAAGACTAAGATAACTATGCATGTGTAATTGTCCAGCTAAATCTGAATTTAATTTAATTAATTGCCATTCTTGGTCACAAAGTGTAATTGTTTTGTGTTTTTCTTTAGATCTTTATTATTTTTTACTTGCGCCAACACTCTGTTATCAGATGAATTTCCCAAGATCCCCCAAAATACGCATGCGTTTCCTTCTGAGGCGAATCTTGGAAATGGTGAGAGGTGCATCACTCTAGATACTAGACCATCAGATACAGGCATTTTTCCAGCCCCTTTCCTCCTCTATCAGTCTCCCTGTGCACATACCATTCCAGTTTAAGAGGTGGATAACCTACTACAGTAGACCCCTGGTTTGTGGTCACCTCAGTAATCCAGCCACCTCAACTGTAGGCACATTTTCACAGTCGCTTTCATGGTCTATACTACAAAGGAGGCTATCTGCTTCATTAAACCCGGGCACTTCACTACTCAGGACAACTGTCATTGATTGCGGCCCCTACAGCGCCCTCCTCCGCTTCAAACGCGGTACAAACACTCCCCTCCACTACTAACCTGTATAGTACAGTGCACTTCGGGCTTCTCGCGCTGTTTCTTCAACACTACTGTGGGCGGAGTGGGCTCCGGTCTCGCATGCGCAGGGAGTGTTGGGATCGCAGAAGCAGCGCGAGCAGAAAATCGACTTCGCCCGGCCCCTGCAACTTAACCTAAGCTCCTGCGACCAATTCTTGGTAAGTGCTGTAAACATGCCACCACAGAAGGAGTTGTCCTTTTGTGAGAGAGTGGACTTAATCAAAAAACAGTAAGGGCAAAAGTCATAGACAGTTAGCTATGATCTATGGCATTGGCAGGACACAAGTTGGATGTATGCTGGACTTCCTCGAGTCCAAAATGGAGGGAATCCACTCAGCTGCCACTGCCCTCCCAACTTCCAACCCCTTCCTACCTCCACCCCACACCACCCATCCCTCCTTCCACACCTTTGAATCTGTCACCCCCTCTATCATCACCACCATATCCTCAATGAAGCCCACCACCTGCTCCCTGGACCCCATCCTCACCCCTCTCCTTAAATCCCAGCTCCACCTCCTTGCCTCACTACTCGCCGACATATCAACCTCTCCCTGTCATCTGGCACTGTTCCTACCCTCCTCAAAACAGTCACTATCACCCCCACCTTGAAGAAAGCTTCCCTTGACCTTGACACAGCTATCCAGCTACCGGTCCATCTCCAACCTCCCTTTTCTGTCCAAGTTCATTGAGAGAGCCATTGCCTCCCAGCTTCGCTCTTTCCTCCCACTTCCTCCATGAACCCCTCCAGTTGGGTTTCCGTGCTGCCCACAGTACGGAAAATGCTCTAGTCAATGTCACAAATGACATCCTGACCATGTGTGACCAGGACTCTGCCTCATCCTCCTCCTCGACCTCTCCGCTGCTTTTGACACTGGATCATTCAATCCTCCTCCACCGCCTCACCTCCCACTTCAACTTCCAAGGTTCTGTCCTTGACTGGTTCAGGTCCTACCTTTCACACTGCCTCCACTTTGTCTCAGCTAACATCTTCTCCAGCCCCTGCAACGTCTCGTGCAGCGTTCTTCAGGGCTCTGTCTTCGGTCCCCTCCTCTTCACCCTCTACATGCTCCCCCTTCGTGACATCATCCGCAGACATGGGGTAAATTTCCACATTATGTGGATGACACCCAACTTTATCTCTCTGCCTCCACCCTGAACTCCAGGACTGACCAACTGCCTGTCCAACGTCAAGTCCTGGACAAGGGACAACTTTCTCCAGCCGAACGTCAGTTAGACCGAGGCCCTCTTGATTGGCTCACACCAGCACCTCGGATGCTGGGGGCATCAGCCTCCACGGCTGCACACTCAACCTCACTAAGCCAGTCAGGAACCTGGGTGTCTTGTTTGACCCTGAACTGTCCTTTCTCCCCCACATCCTCGCCATGACCGGCACTGCCTACCACCACCATCGCAACATTGCCAGACTCCGTCACTGCCTCACCCCTCAGGCTACCCAAACCCTCACCCACGCATTCATCACCTCAAGGCTCGATTATGGAAATTCCCTCATCATCGGCCTTCCCAACTCTTCCCTTTGCAAGCCGCAGATCATCCAAAGCTCTGCAGCTCGTGTACTCTCGTTCATCAGGCTCCGTGACCCCATGACTCCCACCCTCACCCGACTCCACTGGCTCCCCATTCCTCAGAGGATCGAATTCAAGATCCTCATCCTCACTTTCACTTTCAAGGCCATCCATGGCCTTGCCCCCTCCTACCTCTCTGACCTCCTGACTCCTTACCAACCTGCCCGCTCCCTCCGTTCGGCAAGCTCCGGCCGACTCCATGTCGCCCGCCCAACCTGCCCTACCATCGGTGGCCGAGCTTTCAGCCTCTCTGCCCCCACACTCTGGAACTCCATCCCACGGTCCCTTCGCCTCACTTCCTCCCTTTCCTCCTTCAAGTCCGGTCTCAAGACCCTCCTCTTTGAGCGTGCCTTCGGTTGCCCTCCCACCTCTCTGCCTTCCCTCAGCCCTACCCCACCCCTCCCCCATGCTTGGGTTCTGACCCCTGACTGTCCAGCGCCTTGGGACGTCCTCCCAACATGAAAGGCAATCTATAAATGTAATTTTGTTGTTGTTGCATTCTCAAAAGGAAGGCTGAATACATACCACTTTTGTTTTGAATGTGACAATGCCTTTATTTTAATAAGATTGCAAAGTCTGGTATTTGAATGTTTATCACCCTTGCCCATTACCAATGCCCTTAACATTTCATCAGTGATTTGAATCACCTGACCTGTTTCAGTAAACGGGTCATCTCACTAAGTAGGTTACTTTAGTGAGGATCTACTGTATTTGGAAATGTTAACAATCATGATGTCATCCCCTAGATTTAAAGGGCAAGTAAATAGAATTAGAGAATATCACTTGTCCTCTGCTTGCTCACCCAATCCCAATCCTACAGTCACCTCCCATTTCTCCTCAGTTCGATATTGACTGTGCCATTTTATAGGGCTCCAAAATGCTACCCCACGTGAAGAGCATTATATAAATACAAGTTGTTTTTCTTCTTAAGTCACATTTTCAAAGGGAACGTACATTTTTAGCAATACCACGAACAGTACTCCATTAAGTTTAGCAAAACTGATTTTATTGTATCAGACACATTTGAAAATATTGTAAGGAAGAATTCCATTTATATGAGCTACTGAGCTCAGAGTAATGTTTTAAAAGATTCTACCCAGTCATTCACACAAGCAGTTTAATTTGTGAACTAGTTATAATAATCGTTACATTTGGTATAGCACTTTTCACTTTGGGAGCAAAGGATATTCTGTATCGGATATACTATACAGTGCAGTGTCTAATTTTGGATGAACATAGCAGCCAGTTTTGCACACAGCAATGTCCCCCAAAAGAACATGAAGTGAATGACCAATTTTATTTGGGGGATTGTTGGCCAGGATACTGGGAGAAACCGCCTTCTATTTTTGAGTGTCATGGGAGCTTTAATATCCACCAGAACAATGGACATTATGATTGCCTTCACAAGTTCTACTTGGACTGTTCCTCTTTTTTATTAAAAAAAAGCTTCTGTGTTCTACTTGTGATCATTTTAATCTAAATTTGTACCCTCTTGGAATACTTAATACTCTCTTTTCTCTTCTATTCCAGTTTTTTATGACTCAACTTATCCTTGGATTGATTCAGCAGGTAAGATAGTAGTAAGAAAATCTGCAGACTCAGTACAGGAGTTCTTACAGATATATTTCTTGGCAAATAGTTATGCGTTTATCATTTATTTATTTCATGAAATCGCACAGTTGGATTTGTAGGAAATTGGTTAGGTAAACAACCGTTCACAAGTCACATAAGAGCATGAATTGCACCTGATTCTGTTTCTGCATGAATTCTGTGATTAACCCTAATAGATAAAGTAGCTCATAACATTTTAACACCACTCTAGTGCCATGCAGTAAAGGTGTAGTTATGCATTATTAAGACTAGTTTGCCCTTTTAAACATAGAATTCACAAAGTGGTAAAATGTTACGCACGGACTTAACGTGACAACAGCAAAAATTCCAGAATCATTAAATGCTGCCCTAACATTGATAGTTTAGTTATACTCAGACCAACTCTCTGATTCCACACTGGCCAATAAGATGAGGATTGATTTTTGTCATTATTTGTGAGCAAATTCAGTAGCCATTTTGTGCACAGCAATGTCCCACAAATAGCTGTGACGTGAATGGCCAATTATATCTGGGGGTTTGTTGGACTGGAGACCAGGAGAAACTGAAACAGGTAAATGGGACCCAGTTTAAAACTCATCCAATGGACGGAACCTCCAACAATGCACTGGAGTGTCAGCCTAGACCACCGTGGCCCAACGAGAACAGCAAAATTACATTTGTATAGTGCCTTTCACGTCAAGAGGACGTCCCAAGGTGCTGGACAATCAGTAAAGGCTCTGCATGCTGTGTCCTCCCAACCGCTAGCTCCTGCCGCTGCCCTCGGAGGATGTTCACACGGAGGGAGGGACCGGGTTGGAATGTTGGAAATGGACTCGGGCCGGATGCGGCCCGCGGACTGTCAGCTGGCCCACGCTCGATGCGGTCTGCAGACCTTTCTCAAATAGGGAATGCGGCCCGTGGCAGCCAAAATGTTGGACAACCCTGGCCCAGACTATGAGCTCAAAGACCCAATGTAGGGGAGGTAAGGGTAGATGGTTATATTGTATTTTCTTCCGTCATAATGTCAGACATAATTTTGTTTTGTAAAATCTGTTTCCTAAAAGTAATTTGTTTCTTCATTCAGTGGATTTTACCAGTGACACGGGCCACAATGAAGCCTTTTACTGTAAGTAATCTTTTGCAAAATGTGTTTATAGCAATAAAAGATGAGTAACCAATAGTTTGTGCTTATTAACTTTGTTTTTCTTTGAAATCAATTTAGGAAATGGAGCTGACTTTATTGGTGGATCACCTGCTGCTGCTAGCGGTGGGTAATGCCATGTTGAGTCAGTTTAATTGGAAACCATGTGCCTTGTACAAATAGGACTAGTATCTTTTGACAATAACACTATCATGATGCTGAAACACACATAAGAGGAGCCTATGGCCATCTCCCTCTTCCTTGCTCGGTGTCCAACCCCACCACTGTGCAGCGCTCCAAGGCGCAATCCTCATGTAAATACAAGTTGTTGTAGTTGTAACATCCAGTTTTGAGATTTCTCTCTCTCCAACATGTTGCATTATCAACTTATTATCATTTCTGCACTTGGTACTGCACTATTTTGTTATTTGCTCTCGTACAGTTCTGTTGTTAATTGCCTTAGTTTTTTTAAAAAGGGATTCATGGGAGATATTGTACTTTAATTTTCAATATTCCACAAACATGGTCAGAGTATAGATTACAAAAGACATTCAGATAAACAAGGCCTTCATAAACTTCATGTTGGGTAGCATTTTTAGTGTGCACCACATTGAAAGAAATCTGGAAGTGATCGTTTAATGTTTGCTATCTTCCTTTTGTAATTTTCCTTTTTTACAACCTCCTTTGGATTTCTTAGAAATGTAACTTCTTTCCTATCTGCCTCTAAAGTTATAGTATCCATTTTACAATCTTCTTTGTCTCCAATACACAGTCAACACACTAGAGTGAATCTTGTAAAGCGTTTTGAGATGGTCCCTCAACATGAAAGGGACTTTACAAAATGTAAGGATGATTATTATTGGGAAGTGCCTGGCTCCTGATCAACAATTCACTGCAGCAGTAGGACTGAGAATAACAACTCACCAGTTGGAGCTGTCACACTCCTTAATTTTGGACAATTTTTATTGTTAAATCTGCACTGCAACTACATGATTCCTAGGGTTTTCTATTAATTTTAAGTACAGACGATCCTACCTACCATTTCACAACCATTTTTAAAAAAATATATCAGCAGGTTTAAGGTTACATTCACAATGGGGATCTAATATGTGGTGATTTATAATTGGAGGCAGCAATAGAGACTCTGTGTCCCAATTAGCACTGTTCTTTCCAGTTACCAGACGTGTATTACGCCAGGATTTCTACTGCAGAAACATTGAGTCATTATTACTGACTTTTATGAAGGTTGCTTATTAGACCTCCAATAAAAAGAGTTTGAGAAATTATCTCTTATTTCAAGTTTTAGAGAAATTATCCTGACACTAGACACTGTGTCAAAACTTTTTAGATCAACTTTCCTACTCCTTTCTGCTCAGCTCAGTTGTCCAGCCAGCAGTGTTCAGCTCTTTGAAACATTTCCCCAGCCCTATCTATATAAAATTACACAAAACCTACCGTGGTCATGATCATAAAAGGGAGAAAACACCAATGAACAATTGCTTTGTGAGGAGAGAACATGTTGATATTACCCCTGGACTAAAGGTGATAACGTTTGTATGGAAGTGAAATCCACTTGTATTTCTCAAGTAAATAGAAATCGATTTTAGGTTAGAGTGGATATTCTTGAAAGGGAGAAGGAAGTCGTTTAGTTTTCTCATTAAAGTGAATGAGTATTAACCTTACATTTGATATAGCGCCTTATCAAGTCATCGAGATGTCTCCAAGCACTTCAGTGAATTGACTGTATTGTGTGGGCGAAACGCAGAAACCAGTTTGTACATGAGTGTCCCACATACAGCTATGGTGTAAGAGACTAATTTTATTTGGGGGATTGTTGGCCAGGGCACCAGGAGACCCTGCTCTTTTTGAATAGTGCTATAGGATCTTTAACATCCACTTGAACAGACCGTTGGGTCCTCGGTTTAATGTCTTATCACATTAACAGAGTGAAGTAATTTATCACTCTCTCACTACTGTGATGTTGTCCAGCCCTGTGTAATATGTAAAGTATAGTATATAGTGAATGAGATATAGAATGAAAATCACCTTTGAAATTGATTGTTTCCGCTTGCAGATTCCCAATCACTTCATCTGGATTGTCTTTTTCTATGGCTTCTTCCATTCAACCTTGAACTTTATTGCTGAACTGATGCAATTTGCAGATCGAAGGTTTTATCGAGACTGGTGGTAGGTGTTCTTGCCGCCATATACAATTTACATAGGAACAGAGCCTCTGCTTCTCCAAAAATCATTATTTGAAATGTGAAAAGTGCTGAAATTCCAAGTAGTTCCAATCATATCGGAATACAACAGAGTGAGTCAGTACACTTGTTGAGGCTGGTTGGTTTCTTGTTATATTTACAGACACAAATCTGCTAATAGAACAACAACTTGCACTTATACAGCACCCGCCACGCAGGGTAGCAGCTCAGAGCGCTTAACAGTGGCAGAGCCTGACTCCGAGCCGAGGGTGGGGGAGGTGGCCGTAAGCAAGATCAAAAAGAAAGGATTTCAGGCCGGACTTGTAAAAGGGGAGAGAGGATGCTAGGCAGAGGGATTAAGAGAGAGAGTTCCAGAGTTTTGGGGGTCGGAGCGAACTTCAGTTCTCCTTCACTCAGATCTGCAGTTCATCCATGGAAGCATCAGTTTAAATACATGAAAAACTTGTGGTTGAAAATGAATCGGAGAAGCATTCTTGCTTAAGAATAAAATATATGTTGAGGCAAAGGCTTATGAAAACTTGCAAACAGTCATGATTGGAGGTAAAAGAGTCATTGTTGCTGCCTGGAAGGAGACTAATTGACCCAGCATGCCTGCTGGTGCCCCACTGGAGCTCACCATCTATTTGAATCCCATTTTACTGTTATTTATTTGTAGCCTTCCATGTTTTTCCTTAGGTTTTTTTTCTTACTCCCATCGAAATTCAGCTCTGTGCTCAACCTCAACAACCAATTGTGCGAAGGCATTCTACATTCTAACATCCCCCTGTATATAAAAAAATCTAAATCCTTTAAAATCTGGTGACAATCCTCAATTTATGCTCTTTTACAGATTTGTTGATATTACTACTGAGGTAAACTAGGAAGTTGCTATTTCAGCTTGTTAAACTGGATCATAATTTACTGCTGTTTATTGCATTTTCCAGCCTCATCACCTGTTTAGAAATTTTCTATCCCTGTTATACTTTGATGTTCTCTACAACAGAAAAACTGTGTGGAGCCTATGAAGCAGATACACAGACCTATGATTTTAAATAGAGGGGTACGAGTGCTCAATTAGCTCTACTTGAAGTATTCTCTGACTGTATCCCCCTTGCTCTTTCTACCTTGAGAAACAAAGAGAAAATAGAAGCACTGAAAGGAATGGGTGATTGTGGCACAGAGGGATAAAAATAAAGGGGAAAAGAAAAAGAGTGGTAGAGAAAAAGGAAAAAAAGACCTGAGTTATTTGACTTTCTTCTCTTGTCTCTGGAGTCTTTTTAATTCTGCTTTCTTCTCAGGGATCTTTCCCAGAAATGTTATCCCATTGTTCGATTAATAATTTGGCAGCCGAATCCTAAAGCTCAGATCAACATGATTGCTTTCAAACCTTTATATTCTATACAGGAACTCTCAGACACTCACTTACTACTGGTCAAACTCCAACATGCTTCTTCACAAATGGTCTGTCAGGTAAGCTGAACAGGTCAGTTATGTTTTTTTTTGACACGAGTGAATATAAACTTCTAAAATGACTTTCTCAAGTAAGACATTCCATTTTAAACACAAATAGTAGTGTCGATGTAGTGACAATAAGTAGTGATGAGTATGAAAATATTTGACATAAACAGGTACTGGTTAAAAGTTGCTTCTTTTCCCTCACTGGTACATTATGTTAGGGAAAGCTAATTTTTTTACTGGAAGCTGTTTTCTATTGTTTTCATTTTACCATGTGACGATTGCTGATATTGAGTATTGCTGGCAAGGCTGCTTCTAGCATTCACCATCAGGACACATTTTCTAAACAGAATGCAACATTGACTGTAGAATTCTGGTTTCTAATATTATTTAGAGTAATACCTATCTTCACTATTGTCTTCCTCATTTTTTAATTAAAATTCAACCTCCACATACAACACAATATTATCCCATTATGTACTGAGGTAAATCACCTGCAGTTGCTTCTCTTTTAAGAAACATTCAATTCTAACTGAGAATTAGTTCTGTGGAGTCCTGTAGCTCAGTGGTTAGAGCACTCGCTTTTTGCAAGTGAGAGACCTGAGTTCAATTCCAGGCAGGGCGAAACCTTGGGCAAGTTTCCTTACTCCACACGCCTAATAATAATCCTTCCAAAAAAAAAAACAATAATTAAATTGGTCATTTTCAATCTACGACTGTTTTTTGGGACATTGCTGTGCGCAATTGGCTGCCGCGTTCGCCCACAAATATACAGTCAATTCACTTTACAGTGTGTTCTGTGAAGCGCTTTGGGACGTCCTCCCGACGTGAAAAGCGCTATATCAAATGCAAGGATTATTATTATTATTATTATAGAATCACTTGTCATGAACTGTAGTAAGAGCTTTGAAGAATCCGTTAAATAAAGCTACAAATCTCATTTTTTCGGAAGAAACAAGGGGTAGTTTAGGAGGAAGCTCTGTTCATTGAGGTTGAACTGGAATCAGAAGCTTTAATGAAGGTTGAATGTATGTCATCTATCTTGACTCATTTATTAGAAAAATATCAAATGCCTGGAAAATGTTGGTAAGTAGTGGGTTTCAAGACAAGTGCTTGATGTACTTAAATAAATCTTTAACAAGATTTGACAGAATGATCCTCAACTATTATCAACCTGTTATTTAACTTCTAAGTGGTGGAAATGGATTGGTAAATTGGTACACTTATCTGAGACTTGTTATCAGGGCTGACCTGACCTGGTGAGCTTGCACTTTTTTTAAAAAAAAGTACTTGCTCCATCAACTCAGTTCCTTTTACTAAAATCTCTGCCAACAAACTCAACAGAAAATCTAGAATGAGGTTTTATGTACCATTTAGACTAGGTCTGGTGGTAGATCTCATGAGGCAATGTTAGGAAGAAGAACAATCTTAAAGGAACAATGTTCCATGTTTCAGTGATGTCCTATTGATGTATATATGGAGGATGAACTGCACTCAAAGATTGAGGAAAAACATACTGAAGGTAGATAAAACATTTTTAATCCCTCCTTCAAACTGATGGTTTGTGTTGTACTTGTTATCACTCATGTATACCAATAAGAAAGGGGGAGACTTACTGGAGAACCTACTTTAGCCCCATCTAGATATGCAGTGCTCACCATCAGTAATAGTCAATTCGCCAACAAAACTGCTTCTTACCAAGAACACATTTATGTTTTGAATAGACAAATAGATGGTGGTAAAGGTAAAGCAATAATTGTTTGATGTTGCAGCGATGTGTCTGCTTCTTATTCTGCAATAGGCACATCTACAGACCAATGATTGAGAATGGATATACAAAGTGGGAAGGGCAAGCCTCAGTATTTGTATTATCTGCATTGTTCCATGAGGTAGGTATTTAAGGTGGAGTTCAGAATTTCAAATGTTTCGGTGGGGCAGGGGGGAGATATCGGTAAGAAATACATTTCAGCCCCAAACATTGTTTTCCATCATGGTAATATCGTGTGCGAGTGACTAACATTTTCCCAGCATCTTGACAACTTGACTGTGCAAGATGGAAATCTTAATTTCTGTTTATAAAAAGCTGTCCCAACGAACTCTACATGGCGGCAATGCCTCGTTACTGTATATTCCTTGCTGCCCAAACGCTTTAGTCATTAACATTAACACTTTACAGGTGTCTTGTGTGTTTTGAGCAGGGCGAAACCTTCGGCAAGTTTCCTTACTCCACACGCCTAATAATAATACCTCCAAAACCAAAAAAAAAAATTATAAATTGGTCATTTTGAATCTACGACTGTTTGTGGGACATTGCTGTGCGCAATTGGCTGCCGCGTTCGCCCACAAATATACAGTCAATAGACTTTACAGTGTGTTCTGTGAAGCGCTTTGGGACGTCCTCCCGACGTGAAAAGCACTATATCAAATGCAAGGATTATTATTATTATTATTTTGCTAATATTAAAAACATCACAGACATAAAACTGTATTGAGGTTAAATCCTTGCTCAGATGACATTTAAAATGCATTATGTCAACTATAAAGATGTACAGCTCCAACCAGTACTCTATAAGGATGTACTTTTATCACAAGATCTTGTGACTAATTTATTTCTAAATATAAAACAAAATTCTCAAAGACCCGAATTGTTCCCTGATCCACCATCTGGACTCCTAATAGATTCGAGCTGGGGGTTCTTCTAACCCCACACAAAGCTGTCTGTTGAGTGGCAGGAGGAAAGCAGAGATTGTGTGACTGGGAGAAGAATAGACCTAATGGGTGAGTGTGAAGCAGAGGGGCAGCTAGCACTGACCTTTCTTACCCCAGAATAGACTAAAATTTATACAATTGACCATTTCTAATTGGGTAGGGCTGTTGGTCTGAATAAATTATATATCACAGCTTTCATTCCTTCTGCAGTAAATAATATAATGTTTATGCATTTCTCTTGCTGCAGTATCTAATCGCAGTGCCATTTCGTATGTTACGTCTCTGGTTATTTACAGGAATGATGCTGCAGGTAAGGTCACATAATCTGAGAGCCTTCATATTGTCTGTGGTTATTATTAAGTTAGCAAAAACAATAGCCAAAGGTCAGGCATTTCTCATCAGAAGTTTGTAGTAATCATTTTTATATATATATACATATATATATTTAGGGAAGCAATCGGAACCATCAAATGTTAGAATCTGTAATTTTCATTAAATTTAGTCTAAAGCAAGGCGAACCTCCAAAATACCAAATATGTAAAACATGATTAACCCTCAGCGTCTACCCACTCTCATAATATTGCCACTGAACCTTTAAAATAATTTGGTAGTTGACCATTATTTAGGGGAGGATTGTTTTGAGAAATGTGTTGCTTGTTTAAAAGCAAAACTCAAGTTTTTCAATTATAACTCACCGTTTTTTTTAGTGTACATGTAAGATGTGATAACTATTTTTTAGATGAGCATTAATTACACAACAGCTATGAGCTATTGCTTGTTTGTTCAATGATCTGTGTTTTCATTAATATGAGAATGGCCTCATACTGCATATCAAGAGTATATACGCAACCACTGAAAACTAGTTAGAAGAAAACCATTGAAACGCACTGACCTATTCCTGGATCACTACCTATGTTGTTATATGAAACACCTGGACCAGATCTGTACAGTTCCAGGCCAAAGGATCTCTGACAGCCTTGCTCCGTTCAGGGACACCCATCGCCTATGTGCAGAACAGAGGGTGAGGGCTTGCCTGATCAACAACAACAACAAGATTCCATTTATAGAGCGCCTTTCACGTCGGGAGGACGTCCCAAGGCTCTGTACAGTTGGGTCAGGACCCGAGCAGGGGGGAAATGGTCAGGGTGAGGGGAGGGAAGGAAGGGAGTAGAGAGTCGAGAGGGGAGCTGAAGGCACGGTCAAAGAGAATACATCAGTCTCGATCAGGAGAAAGCCTTCGATAGAGTATCTCACGGCTGTATGGTTGAGGTACTATCCAAAATGACTAACCACTAAAAGGTGCATGAGAGCAGTTCAGGATGACTTTTTTTTCACTCCCTTCAAGGAGAGTGCTCCACAGTCCACGTCTCCCAGGGATGGACAGTGCACCTTTTGAACAGTAAAAATGCAGAAACAGCAAATTAACCAAAGATGATAATAATAACTAATTGATGTGCTGACAACAGAAAATACATCAGATGTTGGTCACTTGTTTTTCCTAAATTAATCTAGGGCCTGCTCATTTTGGAGAAGAACTAAGGAGAACCAACAAGATAAAATCATTATCATATTACCATTATTCACAGGAGCAGGCCACTGAGTTTGGCCAAATCAGTGCTGGAATGTTTCTCCACATGAAACACCTAAACACTTTCTTGTTTGTTTACCCATACTCTCTAACATTGCTTTTTGAGCATCTATTTAATTTCTGTTTTAAAATGGTTATGGAATGAGCTTCAATATTTATTTGTGGCAGAGAATTCCAAATATATTAATCTTACTTTCTTATAATTATATATTTTTACTTGTATCCTTTGAATATTCAGCAGCTGTTCATTCAAATTAGCTTCAACATACCAGTAGTGATGGGTTATCACTCTGTTAGAAGAAAATGTTAACTTCCAAATGCTAAGTAGAATTATTACATTGATTTCCCTTAATGGAAATCTGCTTCTATTTGAGTTTTCAGAACTTAATTGCTAATATGTAATGTATTTTCTCTTCCAGGTTCTCATTGCTTGGGTTCTGAGCAGATATTTAAAAGGATTGTATGGAAATGCAATTGTCTGGCTCTGCATTATTTTAGGTCCTCCTTTGGGCGTTCTTACATATATCCATGATTATTATGTATTTGAACAGCTTAAAATAAATCAGAATAAATAAGTTTTGAAGGAAGGGTATTTTTATTTCCTTTCTTTGCAAAGCACAGGCCAAATTCTTCTAATTGGAAATATAAGACATCAAATATAAGTGAACTAGTAGTAGATCTAATTGAGAGTTTAGGAAGAACTTCACAGAGGGGTGGAACTCGCTGCCGGAAGCTGCGTTTGAAGCAGAAGGCATCAGTGCATTTATGAGAGAGAAGGGGATTGGAGGGGTAAAGCAATCTGAGAAGTTACCCCCTTGTGAAGGGCACTATATAATTGCAAGTAGTAGTTCTTGTCTAAGAGAGGAGAATAAGAGGACTGGAGGCTTAGGTGGAATATAAGGACTGGCACACACAAAAGCTCTCAACCACACTGTCAACAATGCAGCACACATCCACCACTGTATTGGAAGGGTCATAATCGATGAGTTCAAAGTTCCAGTGTGGGGTTTGAACCCACAACTTTTATGGCTCAAATGCAAGAATGCACCAATTGAGCCACCAACAACTTGCATTCATATAGTTCACTTCATGCAGGATAGCATCTCAGGAGCGATCAAAGGCACAGTCGAAGAGGAGGGTCTTAAGGTGGAGGGATTGTGTGATGGAGTTCGAGAGAGTAGGGACAGAATGGCTAAAGTCCTGCCTGCCAATGGGGGGTGGGGACATGAAGCAGGCTGGAGCAGGTTGGTAGGTTGCAGAGGTAGGAGAGAGCAAGGCAAGTGACCAGCATCTTGAACTGCACCCTCTGTGACAGGAAGCCAGTGGAGTTGGGTATTAGTCACAGCCTGGTGGTGTGGGTGATGACACGGGCTGCATATGAAACTAGTTTCATACAATAATAATCCTACATTTGATATGGTGCCTTTTGGGTCAGGGGAATGACTCCAAGTGCTTCACAGGATATTCTGTAAAGTGCAGTGACTATTTTGCAGGTGAGGATAAATATCTGGTCAGAGTGGAATAGCACTGGCATGAATTGTCAGTGTGGGTTTTGGCATCAGTGGTTTACATCTGTCTAAGAGTGTTTACTCTGACAACTTTAGAAATGAAGAATTCTAAAAGATGATCAATCTTGAGCGCTCATGATGACTCAGTGGGTAACTACAGACTACAACGATCCTAGGTTCAATCCTTGCATTCTGGATGCTGTCAGTAATTGAGCATAACATATTCATTTCAGCGTCTGTGGCTACACAGAAAGAAATTGGTCATGTTTCCTGCCCCTTGCTCGAAAGGCAAATGTGGTTATTGTGATTGTCTATAATAACCTCCCCCACTGACACACTATCAGTGAGACTATTGGCATTCATTCTCAGGGTTTACAAATGAATAAGGGCCACTCGGGTGACATGTGGAAGGGCTGAAAGGAGCTATGAAGTCACCCCAGCATGACTTTTGTCGAAATGTGCCACAGCCCAAGAAGAAAAAATAATTCATCATCTCCGGTATTTCAATGTCGAGAGGGAGGAGAACTGCCTTCAAAGCCAGTTTCTATCAAGATTGACAGAACAATAGATAATTGAAACTGCTGACAGTTTTACTGAGATATAATTCCCAGAATAAAGATGCTAATTGATGTCACATTAAGAAAAAATAAATGGTAACTGCTTGACCTCTGTTTTAATGTACCTCACCATATAGATTACTGCAGCTCTGCATTTACAGTTCCTGTACTGCTTTAACAAATTCAGTGTGTGATCTCAATTATCTTTATCAGATCATCAGATTTTAAAAGGTTTCTAGATATGTCAAAGATTAATGCGATATCAATTTACTGAGAAGGTCAGCTTGGTATATATTACTCAGGTTTGATAGGGCCACTTCCTTTCAATGGCATTCTGATTTATTATAAGACTGAAACATACACACAAGGTCATTTCAGGAATGAACTCAGTGGATGAGGGAATCATTACTATCAAACTTAGTAAGGTGGAATGGATTGATAAACTGTACTTTAAGAATCCAGAATTGAAGTCAGAATCCTGGAGGTGTCTAGTTTTTTTCAAAAAAAATGTATTCACAATGTGTTAGTTAATAGCTGTCGAGTTTCCAACACAATAAATAAACAGTAAGTGCTTGGAATTCTGTTTTAATGTACCTCACTAAACAGATTACGCCATCGCAACAAAATCCCTGTTATGCAACTCAGCTCTCAATACCCCAGAGTATTTATACAGAATTGAGATGGAGTTGGTACCACATGACCAGAGGATAAATTATGGACAAGTTAACTTACATTTATTTACCAGTCATCTGTTTGCTGCATCAGTTGAATGTGAACAGGACTGAGGCCCTCTTGATTGGCTTGCGCTCGCACCTCTGCACCTCAGGCTCTGGCAGCGTCAACCTCCACGATTGCACTTCAACTCACCAGTCAGGAACCGGGGTGTCTTGTTCAAACTTCAACTGTCTTTTCTTCCTCACATCCAAGCCATGACCTGTTCTGCCTTCCCTCACCTCCTTAACATCGCCCGACTCCGCCACTACCTCACCCCTCAGGCCGCTGAACCTCTTGTTCATGCCTTCATCACATCCAGGCTCAACTATGCAAATGCCCTGCTTGTCGGCCTTCCCAAGTCCTCCCTCTATAGGCTGCAGATAATCCAGAGCTCTGCAGCCCGTGTCCTCTCCCGCAACAAGCTTCGTGACCCCATCTCCCCCATTCTTGCCCGACTCCATTGGCTCCCTATCCTTCAGAGGGATCCTTCAAGATCCTGGTCCTCACTTACAAAATCCTCAATGGTCTCGCCCCACCCCACCTCCTAACCCCCTATCAAGCCGCCGGCTCTGGCCTGCTCCACGTCCCCCGCCCCACCAGTGGCAGGAGAGCCTTCAGCCATCTGCCCCCAACCTCTGGAATTCCATCCCCCAATCACTCCACCTTGCACCCTCCTTAGCCTCCTTCAAGTCCCTCCTCTTCGACCATGCCATCAGCCACCTCCCTTCTCCCGCCCTGACCCCAGCTCGGGTCTGAAATGCTGTACACTGTCCAGCACCTTGGGACATCCTCCCGACGTGACAGGCGCTATACAAATGTAATCTTGTTTATTGTTGCATTAGCACAGTATGGATGACAAGGGGTGAGTCACCACTGAATGCCAAGCAGATGGTTTCAGTTTTTTGCAGAAGCCTGGGAATAGGAGAACTACCTTGTCTCTCACCTGGCATATCTCAGCAAGAAACTTAAGGTCAAATAATTGAGATGCTAAATAATATTTAGGACACAGGTTTGCAGTCAATGCAGTAAAGTTGTGAGTTCATGCTTTTAGCATACAACAACTGATTGTGGAGTCCTATAGGCTCAGTTGTTAAGAGCACTCGCCCTGGGTTTGATTCCCAGCAGGACAAAACCCGGGTAGGTTTCCTTACTCCACCCGCCTGATAATAATGCCTCAAGAAAAAAAATTGGTCACTTCAATCCACAACTGTTTGTGGCACACTGCTGTGCACAATGTTTCACCCACAAATGTACAGTCAATTCACTTTACAGTATATTCTGTGAAGCACTTTGAGATGTCTAGAAGATGTGAAAAGCGCTAAATCAAATGCAAGGATTATTATTATTATAATAATAACTGATCAGGTCACTCCCATTTGGAATCAGACAGTGTCCCATTTAATCCAATGTAATGTTGTACTTATTTCCATTAACATGAATTACCACTTGCCAGTGGGAAGGTAGTTAGGAATACTTCAAAGGTTAAAGGCTGCAAATCAACGGTCAGTCTCACAAAGGAATCATAAAATGTTTTCATTTGTTCAATACTTTTTTATTCTTAACAAAAAAAAACTTAATTACAGTAATCATGTTATAATTCAGAGACACTTGTGTACAATGCCAAATAATTCATAAGTTTGACTGGTTTTGTTTATTTGGGTCATGGGATGCCAATTGTCATCAATTGGTTACATCACATCATTGAACCAACCCCACAAACAAATCAACCAACTGATACATACATTGAATGAAGCAATGTTGCTCTACAAGGTGTTACCATGCACTACATGTAGCATATGGGACTCGGAAACAATTCCGTCACTTGTTCAGACAATTCAAATAAGAATGGAACTATCGCAGCGGGGGAAACTCGATGACTGCATGGGATTTGCAAGTTCAGTTAGTGTCGAATCCAAGTTTTTTTTTCTCTCGCCCGCCCACCCCACCCCCCACCGTTTTAAAACTGCGGTTTCTGCTGAAACAAAAGCCAAATGTGATTGTCAAAAAACAATCTTTTACAAACAAAATTTGCAAAGGCACCATGCATTCCACCCCCCACCCCATATAGATTAACGTGCAAATTTAATTTTATAATCACTGAACAAAAACATCCCCCCCTCCTACTCCTCTCTTCCCCCCTCCCAACACCACAGCTAAGGATTAAATTTTGTCCATCTCCGGATGTTTTAAGTCTGTCCCATGTAGTACCTGATTGTTTTGGACTGCACATGAGGGTACACAATGCTTTGCGTTGTCAGCAAAAATTTTATTGAACAATTTTAACATGCTACTGCAGTTAACATCTAGACATTTGCAAACAGTTTTCATGCCTTTCCTCTCAGTGAGTGCCAGCCATTGGCACTTTACACAGCACACCGAGCATGTTTTAGCACCCATAGTTTTGATTTTTTTAATTAAAAAAAACTTAAAGTTGCAGTATCGCCTTTTCCTGACTTTTGGCCTGTGTATAAAATATATTTCCACACCACCTCCTCTTTGTGATGGCTTTAGCTCCTTCACTACACACCATTTGCAATGCCACCTGCCTCAGCCCGAGCCTGCTCCGCACAGCCACTGGAGAGCTTTCCAATAACATACAACACAGATTGTCTTAGCAAAACCTTTTGAAGAAAAAAAACACTATTTGCTGTGAATGATGTGCCTGCCCAGCTCTCTAAAGTATTCCTCTTGGCTCAAAAACGCTTCCAGCAATTGTAAAGATATGCAAATTCTGAACATGGCATTTTTTTTTGGAGTCCATAGGAAAACACCGTCTGTGATTAACACCAGCAACCGGCAAGGTCCAGGATGAAGAACTGCAGCACAAATAACACCAAATGGCATCTTTAGTAGTGAATAAGTTAACTGTATCCTTCCGATCATCCTCGCCAAAGTTTTGTAAGATGGTTCATATCATCTACTTACTGATGCCTTACCATTAGAAGCTGTAACCGAGTTTCCTGGCAGCTAACATGTTGTATCTCTTCTGAATAAAGTCCTCCGTTCTCTCACCCTCACCGAATCTGTAGAACGGACCAGACCACCACAGCGAGTGGCATCTGGTATCCCTTGGGTGGGGGGTGGGGGGGCAGCATGGCTAGTGCTAACTATGTAAACAGGATGGCAACTCAAACCATCAAATAAGACTATTATTGACCTATCAAGCCGACTGCCAGGTTCAACCGGTTACAAGGCGCATCTGCCCACATGCACACGAGCAGCAGGTTGATGGAGTCTGAACATTATGAAGGTGACTTGGATTCGACGGGTACCTCTCGGGAATGAGAAGTTGCGACTTTAACACAGAGGCTGGATCTAAAGAGGACGACTCTCCTCCATCTTGATGGACTGGTGCTGAGGACCAGCGGTTTGTTGTTGGACGTTTACAGTGTTTTTTTTTTCTCTCTCTTGTTAAATGTTAAACTATATTTGGCAAAACAGAAAACCTTTACAGCAACAGGAAAAAGGACAAGACGAGAACATCTGGTAATGGAACACATTCTAGGTATTTTATTACAATACAAAAAAATATATAAATATACAAAAACATTAATTTCAGAACAAAAAAAATCTACTAGTTGTAATTCTCTCCGAAACATAAATGGAAATCTAAAATAAATGGATGTAGTAGAGGTGCTGCTACTTGGATTTAGGGTAAGCTATGGGTCACCTGTGTCGCTGCAGTCACAAGTTCACATTCCCAGACTGTGTTCGCTCCTCTCTTGCCCAATGCCTCCCCTGTAAAACCTGCAGATCCTCGGCTTCCTGCACTTTGAGCTGTGCGGACAGTAGCAGGACTCATCGCACGGCTGCAGAAACATTGGGCAAGTGTGAGTTGTTACTCCGGGCCCCATCTGATTGCTCTTTCAGTATTGGATCTGAAGAGAGAAAGGGAGGGAGGGAGGGAAGCGGAGAGAGAGAGAGGGGGGGAGGGAGGAGGAGAGAGAGATAAGAGAGAGGGAGATATTAAAAAAGGAGTCAAATACACATTCATTGAAACTAACAAACTCCAAACTGCATCCTGGAGCTCTGCCACACAGTCACAGTGTTAGCTGGTCAGACTGTAGTGGAGAGTTCAATGAAACTCTGAACTCCACTCATTTGTGAAACTAGAAACTTGAATAGTTTACATTCCTCCGAGGAGCTAATCATTAGTAGCAGCAACAAGATGAGGAAAGCGACCACACGGGTACCCGGTCGGTTCAGTGGTATCTTTGTGCCCTACGTGGTAAGTGCATGGCCAGAGGGTTGCCAGAAGTTTCAAACTGTGTGTGGAGTTGGGGTCGCAGTCAGGGCCGCAGTTTGGGGGCGAGAATTGGCCTCAGCATTGTCGATTACAGAAAAAGTATATAATTCACGGTCTCTCCTTCCTGGACTTTCCAGATTCCCAGTCTCCCACCGCTGCTCTGAATGTAGCTGAGTAAGCATATAATCATAATATAATAATCTTTGCATTAGATATAGCGCCTTATTACAATGTTGACATGTTTCAAAGTGCTTCACAGAATATACTGTAAAGTGAATTGACTATTTTTGTGGGTGAAACACAGCAGCCAATTGCCCACAGCAGCCCCCAAAACAGTGGTGGATTGAGGATCAAACTGATTTTTTTGGAAGGGATTATTGCCCCCGAAAAGCAATCTGCCTATCGACTAACAACCAGGTTTCTACTTACAACTAGAAAACAGAGGACTGTGGGGTAAGGAAACTTGTTTAATGTTTTGCCCTGTCCGGGAATTGAACTTGGGTCCTCTCGTTTGCGAGGCGAATGCTCTAACCAATACATTACAGGGCTCCTCGATTATCCCGAAGCACGGGGCAAGTGTTACAATAAGAAGCAAATTTGAGCACAAACATAAAAGATTCAGGTGAAAATTAGAGTGGATAGCTCCAAATGGGAAACAATGATATTTTAAAGCACCTTATACCAAAATGATTCACAGATAATCAGTTACTGACTTTTTTGTAAGCAAAAACTGGCAGCTAATCTGCACACAGCGAGGTCCAATAACCAGCCAGGCGATGAATGAATAACCAGGCTGAACTAGATGCTTGTTGACCAGGTCACAGGCCCAATGGCGTTGCTCTATGCTGAAATGACTATGCTTAATTTTCCATTATGTGCCTCGCTCCCTCCCTTGCCTCCTTCAAGGTATGTCTCAAGATCCTCCTCCTCAACCGTGCCTTCGGCCGCCCTCCTACACTCCTTGCCTTCCACCCTCCCCAGCTCAAGTCCAAATCTCTGACTGTTCAGTGCCTTGGGACATCTTCCCGACGTGAAATGCACTACACAAATGTAATTTTGTATTATATTGCTGGACCTTGACCAAACTTTGGAGGGTCACCCTGTCATTGCACTTACAGAAATACGAATGCTCCATCGCTTCCTTAGCTGTTAGTCTCTGCTGATGATCATAACGAAGTAGTTTGTCCAGCAAATCCAAGGCCTCAGGACTGACCAGATGCCGATTCTCACTGTGTATGAACTGCTCCCAGCGCTTCCGAGAATGTCTGAGCAACAATGAAGGTTTTATTAATTATTCAATTATTCCTTGCATTTGCATCACGTCCTCAAACTATCACAAAGCATTTCACAGGATTTACTGTTGACTGTAATGACTCTGCATTTTGTAGGCGAACATTATAGCTGATGTACTCTGCAAAGTCCCACAAACAGTCATGAATTCAAAGACCAATTTGATCTGGGGAATTGTTAGCTTAGGCAGCGAGAGAACTTCCCTTCTCTTTATCAAATAGTTTGATATCTTTAATGTGACTCAAGACAGCAGACATCTCTTTCGAAAAGCCGGCACCTCCAACAATGCAGCATGTCCCCAACACTGCACTAGAGTGTCAGCTTGGACTGTGAGCTCAAAGACCCGACATGTGGCCAAATGAACCCACTCCTTTTGAAAAGTGAGAGTGCTGCCAACTGAGCCAGTCTGATATCAATTAAGTAGCAATCAATTTTGATAATGTAAAGCACTTCGGGGGGACGTTTATTTGACATGAAAGGTACTCTACAAATGCAAGTTCTAATTCAAATAAATAGCCCAGAGAGTGTAGCAGCTTGTGCTTCAATATATGAAATTCCATTGAAATTCAAGTGCATAACACTACACAGACAACGAGCAATACCTTAAAGAACATCTGCTTAATTAATTCCTTTGCTTAACATTTGGGCAAGTTTCCTTACTCCACACGCCTGATAATAATCCCTCAAGAATAAAAATAATAAATTGGTCATTTCAATCCACGACTGTTTGTGGGACACTGCTGTGCGCAATTGACTGCTACATTTCACCCACAAATATACAGTCAATTTACTTTACAGTCTATTCTGTGAAGCACTTTGAGACGTCTAGAAGATGTGAAAAGCGCTATATCAAATGCAAGGATTATTATTATTAATAAATTGCTTGTAATTTGTGTGTGTGTGGTAGTGGAATCACAACTTATCCAAAAAATAAAGAATCTTTCTTATCCCAAATCCACCCCCATCCCACTGCTGCATATAAATCACAACACACTGTGATCTCTCTAAGATAACTAATTTACACAGCCCTTGATAAAATGTCAGTGTCCCACCCTCTGGTTACAGACCCTCAGCTGATAGTTACAGCTGCTGAATTATAAATCTGACCCCAGTTTGTTTTGAACCAAATTCAATTCAATGAGTTATTTCTTGTTGATTTGCTTGAGAGTTTACAGAACTTCCCATAATGAGACATTAAATTTTCAGATAATCTCCAATTAATAATAATAATAATCCTTGCATTTGATACAATGCCTTATCACATCGTCGAGACATCTCAAAGTGCTTCAGAGAATATACTGTAAAGTGGATTGACTTGTATATTTTGTAGGCAAAACGCAGCAGCCATTTGGCACAGCATTGACCCACAAACAGCCAGTTGCACACAGCAATGTCCCACAAACAGTCGTGGACTGAGTGACCAATTTTTGTTTGCCTCCTTTACGGAAAGAAAATCAAGCCTGAGTTTAAGAACACAGAGCCCCGGTAGCCAGAGTTCAGACGCGCCAACATTAACTTCAAATATGCTACTCACTGGCCCAAAGTATCATTAAATCGAGGATCCAGTTCAATGTGGTATTTTTTGAGGTAGTCGAACAATTCATCAGTTCCTAAAACCTTGGCAATTCGAACAAGCTGTGGGGTGAAAAAGAGAGATCAAAAAAAGGTACGTGGGAACAGCTGCCAGAATGTACTGAACAATGACAAAGCAAATTTGAATGCGAGTGCTCTGCACACACGAGACTGTGCAAAAGTGACTCCTTGTACACTGCTCTTCAGCACCTTGAGTGACTCGCTCTGTGCGAAAGCAACATTGGTGGAACTCTGTGAGACTCAACGCATAGTGTATGCCCAACTCTGTATAATAATCCTTGCATTTGATACAGCACCTTATCACGTTGTTGAGATATTTGATACAACGCCTTATCACATCGTCGAGACATCTCAAAGCACTTCACAGAATATACTGTAACGTGTAGCCACTGCGCGTTTTGTGGGAGAAACGTGGCAGCCAATTGTGCACAGCAGCGTCCCACAAACAGTCGTGGATTAAGTGACTAAATTACAGAGGAATACAGCGCTTTGTGAGGACCAACATGATCTCATTGCACGAGTTTAGAGTAGAAAATCTGTGGAAGATAAACCAACGAGGGCAATTTTACTACTGAAAAGTCTTATATTAAAACAAAACGCGGGTGTGGGGGATATTTAACATCCACGAATGTTAAAATCTGGTTTAAGTTGCAGTGGCTCCAATTTGTTTGTGTACAGTATTAGCTGGATGGTCACCCACCCCAGCAAAGGTAATTGGTCAATGATTACAGCTCAATTAAGACTGTTTCACTGAGCTGTTCCTCTCCTGCAGTGAGTGGTTTAACTAAATGGTACCTGGTCATAGTTGTCATGTCCGTGGAAGAAAGGCTCCTTACGGAATATCATGCTGGCCAACATACATCCCAAACTCCACATATCTAGGCTGTAATCGTACATCTGGAAAACATAAAGAAACAGTGAAAAAATAACAAATGAATAATAATCCTCCATGGCATTTGTTATAGTACTTTTCGCATTGGAAGGACGTCATTTCATAGGATTTACTGTAAGTGCAGTGATTGTGTATCTCCAGGCAAAAAAACAATTTGCTCACAGCAATGTCCCACAGACAGCCACAAAGTGAGTGGCCAATTTTATCTGGGAGATTGTTGACCAGGTCACTGGGGGAAACTCCCCTTTTCTTTTCAAATAGCAGCACGGGATCTTTATGTCCACCTGAACAGACACATGGGACCTCGGTTTAACGTTAACAGGTGGGAACTTCTAGGTGTGGAAAGGGATGACGGTTAAAGTTAACAGGTAGGTTCCAACAAAGCCTCAGAGTCCAGTGGTTCATTCCATTGGAATGTGAAGCTTAAAATATGATTTCTGCCTGGGTGCTGCAAATTGGTAGAAGAATGGCTGACAAGAAGGAAATATTTGCCTTCATGTATTATTACTTTGACTTTTCTTCAGTGCCCTTTACACTCAGAGTACGAGTCAGATTATAAATAACCAACCCATCTTCAAACTGCATCTTTACTTCAAAGATTAATTATGAATCAGAAAACCATTAGATCACAAGGAAAACAATACAGAACAACGTTTATATACAGTCAAACCTGTTTTCAGCAACCACTCAGGGGACTGAACCAAAGGGCTTTTATGGGTGACGTCTTAGTTGAAGGTTCATTGGTTCATTTAAAAACATTTCCACAGGCCCAGCATGGAGCCTACCTACTGGACTCCTTTCACATTTACCAACATCACCTCACCGGTGAGACAGAAAGCACTGGGTATCACGTGCGCTCAGAGTCCACATGCAGGCTCACAGAAATTGATAATTAATTTGCAGTTTTGGCAGTTGAAAGGGTGTCTACACCGACAGGGCACNAAAAAAGAGTGGCCACTGGTTGTGTTAAAACAGGTGGTTGCTGAATGGAGGTGTTTTATTATGGATAATCTGTCAGAACTGTTCCAGGGTGGATGTTGGCAGCTGGTGGTCACTGAATAGAGGTGGTTGCTTCAACAGGGTGGACTGTAGCGCCTTTCACATCGGGAGGATATCCCAAGTCACTGGACAGTCTAGGGTTTGCACCTGAACTGAGGCTAAGGGCTGATGGGAGGGGGAAAAGATGGCCAAAAGCACGGTCAAAGAGAAAGGTCTTGAGACGGACCTTGGTAGGATTTAATTGCTGAATTAAACAGGTTTGATTGCTGAAAGATGCTCAAGGTTACCGTCTCCCAGCTTCTCCTGCTAACTCGCTCCTGAGCCAGAGCTGAAACTCAAGCCATCAAGAGCTTTGAGATTTGAAGCTTGCAAGTTGTGAACGTTGAAGCAATGTCCTTTAGCAGCTTTTAAAGAAGTGGCATTTAATTACCTTTCAACACACGCTGTGCAGCAGGTTCTGAGAACTGCCTCCTGCTGTTCGAGAATCGCTGCTTTGGAGGTGAGTCTGGTCACCTGAGGCAGATGTGTGCCAATGACTTGTGATTGAGAGCTCTGCAAACACACCACCAACCAACCAACCATAACCAACCTCAGGGCTATGTACAGCCCCAATGCAAACACCATCATTCAGTTCAGTGCAAGCTTGTAGCCTGCTCAGATTGATCTGAAATACTGTTCCTACCTGGTAGTCGACCAGTAGCTCAGGACCTTTGAAGTACCTGGAGGCCACTCTCACGTTGTACTCCTGCTCAGGATGATAGAACTCAGCCAGGCCCCAGTCAATCAATCGAAGCTGCAGAAAAAATAGGGGCAGAAAGCAAACCAGGAACACAGTTAAACTGGGAGGCTGGACAGTAACAGCATTTCATTAACTTTTTCTATCTAACTACCATGAAGTTAAGAAAGATATACCACCTTCCTGCAAGCAGAGCACAGACAAAAATGGCCCGAGCTTTTGTCAGATACAGGCTTGATTCAGTGAAGTGGACCGTTGTACAATGGCCACAAGATGGAGCTGTGTGTTTTTAAAAGAATCGCTATTTTATAAAGTGTATTAAAAACAAAACGTTTGAGCATAAGGGGCGACATAGTGGGACAATTCTTCAGGTTGCTGAATAGCTTTGAAACAAATACTGTTCAGAATCGCGCGCAAGATAGTGGAAATCTGAAAGTCTCTCCCCCAAAAGGCTGTGGATTATGGCTGGATCTATTCGAATTTTCAAGACTGAGATGGATGGATAATTGTTAGGTCAGGGTATCAAGGGATATCGGGCAAAGGCGGGTAATTGGAGTTGAGGTACAGATCAGCCGTGATCTTATAAAATAGCGGAACAGGCTCGAGGGGCTGAATGGGCTACTTCTGTTTCTATGTGTTCCTAAGATGGATGGAAAAGGGTGAGGTGCTGCTGTTGCCAGGTCACTATCTCACACCTCTCTCTCGCTCTCTCCCCTAGTGTCTGGTCAAGGCCGCCATTGACACTGGAATGGAAGTGTGATGCCAACCTAACTACAGGTGGCAGAGGCAACTGGACTTAGCAGGGAGATAACCCAAGGCTCACTTATGAAAGTAAATACTCTCATTAAAATAAACAGAATAAGCATTTTTGTCTTGGAGGAACACACACCAGCAGCAAATGGAAACGGTTTGTTGAATAGCAGCTGCTCTGCATTACAACCAATGTTAGATCCAATGTCAATTTCTCCCCTGGTAAAGTAGTATCAGATGTCTTTAACAGTTACACCCCCGCTTGCCACACTGACATGCTGTGCTCCGATCACCAGCCTCCGAACACCTGGTGAAATTTCAGATGACGGGTGAAGTGACAGGACAGTAGGTTTTTTTTGGAGTCAGCAGCAATGGAAAAGCATTGATTCAGGGCAAAGCCTGTGGCTGTCACTGGTGCTGGAAGTTCTTTTCAATGAGATGCCCCAATTATTGTAATAACACTGGTGTTACTGTAATAACACTCTACGTTTGTCATTGATTGGGATGCATAGCATGTGCTGATATTAAGCCTGGACAAATTAGGCTCAGACACATCAGGCTTCACTAGAGCTGGTTTTTATTGTCAAGTAGCTTGCTGTAACTCACTGTCCAGATGATGACTCACTGGTCACTTGTGAAAATAATAATCCTTGCATTTCATCTAGCGACTTATTACATCTTCAAGACTGTTCCCATTCCCCTAAAAACTGCCACCATCACTCCCACTTTGAAAAAATCCTCCCTTGATGCGTCGCAGCTATCAAGCTACCGGCCCATCTCCAACCTTCCCTTCCTGTCCAAGGTCCTTGCAAGAGTTGTCGCCTCCCAACTGCGCTCTTTCCTCTCCACCCATTCATTATTCGAACCCTGCCCATAGCACAGAAACCGCCCTGGTCAAGGTCACCAATGACATCCTGACCATCTGTGACCAGGGCTCCCTCTGCCTCCTCGTCCTCCTCGACCTATCGGCAGCATTCGATACAGTCGACCACGCTATCCTCCTCCACCGCTTGTCCTCCCACCTCAACCTTCAAAGCCCTGTCCTTGAGTGGTTTAGGTCGTACCTCTCCCACCGTCTTCATTTTGTTTCCACAAACGGCTTTTCCTCCACCCCCCGCACTGTCCCGTGCAGTGTCCCTCAGGGCTCTGTCCTCGGTCCCCTCCTCTTCACCCTCTATATGCTCCCCCTTAGTGACATCATCCGCAAACATGGGGTTAACATGCGGATGACACCCAACTCTACCTTTCCTCCTCTACCCTCAACTCCACGACCCCCGATGTCCTGACAGCTGCCTGTCCGACATCGAGTCCTGGACGAGAGACAACTTTCTTCAGCTCAACGTGCGCAAAACTGAGGCCCTCCTGATTGGCTCACGTCAGCGCCTCCGCACCTCAGGCGCTGACACCATCAGCATCCAAGGCTGCACTCTCCACCTCTCAAAGCCGTCAGGAACCTCGGGGTTCTGTTCGACCCTGAGCTGTCCTTTCTTCCTCATATCCGCGCCACAACTGGCACCGCCTTCCACCACCTCCGAAACATTGTCAGACTACGGCACTACCTCACCCCTCACGCTGCTGAAACCCTGGTCTACGCTTTTATTACCTCAAGGCTGGACTATGGGAACTCTCTCCTCGCCGGCCTTCCCGGCCCTCCCTCCACACTGCAGGTCATTCAGAACTCTGCAGCTCATGTACTGTCCCGCACCAGGCTTCGCGATCACATCACTCCCACCCTCGCTCGCCTCCACTGGCTCCCAATCCCCCAGAGGATCGAATTCAAGATCCTCATCCTCACCTACAAAGCCATTCACGGCCTTGCTCCCTCCTACCTCTCTATCACTACCTAAGATACCTACTATCCCCCTACTTACCCTCCCATACCCTCTGTTCCTCTGGCTCCGGTCTGCTCCACATCCCCTGTCCCAACCGCCAAACCATCGGTGGCCGGGCCTTCAGCCTCTCAGCCCCGAGGCTCTGGAACTCCATCCCCCAGTGCCTTCACCGCCTCCTCCCTTTCCTCCTTCAAGGCCAGTCTCAAGACCTTTCTCTTTGACCGCGCCTTCAGCTCCCCTCTCGACTCTCTACCCCCTCCTCGCTCCCTTCGCTCCCCTCACCCTGACCATTTCCCCCCTGCTTGGGTCCCGACCCAACTGTCCAGCACCTTGGGACGTCCTCCCAACTTGAAAGGTGCTCTATAAATGAAATCTTGTTGTTGTTGAGACGTCTCAAAGCGACTCACAGAATATACTGTAAAGTGAATTGACTGTACATATTTTGTGGGCGAAACGCAGCAGCCAATTGTGCACAGCAGTGTCCCACAAACAGTCGTGGACTGAGTGACCACATTATTATTATTTCTTTCTTTTTCTTGAAGGGATTATTACCCCAGGAGTAAGGAAACTTGCCCAACGTTTCACCTTGCTGAGAATCAAACCCAGGTCATCTCGCATGACTAAATACAGGACTCCATGTATTAGATACTATTGTACTCAGAACAAGTTGGCACTTTCAGGATATAATTTTTAGTCAGCAAATCAGGGTACCTGACAAGAGAAATCCTATCATCTTGTTTAAGTCTCCAAACCACTAAGAGTACCATACACACACACACACACGGTTTCAGTTTGGTATGGAGTATATGCACACTCTCATCCCAGAGGGACCATTCTGGTTTACCTAATCCTGCAGAATTTAGGCACAGATCGACAAATCACTGATAAGATTCCCACTGCTTGTCCAGGTAGGGCCACGGTTAGGGCTTTGGATTGCAGGGTTACCAGGAGCAGAGTGAGAAAATTCCCTGTCCCTAGTGATTTGTCCGCTCTTCCACATCCTGCTGACAAGCCAGGCTGCGTAGTCTGTCATCAACATTCAATAGAGTACTGCGGACCTTCTTAACTCAGGTATACGGCAGGGCGAAATGTTGAGCAAGTTTCCTTACTCCACACGCCTCTGTTTACCTAGCAGTAAGTAGGAACCCGGTTGATGGTCGATTGACAGATTCTTTTCCAGGAGTAATAATCCCTTCAAAAAAATAATAATAAAATAATAATAATTTGGTCACTCAATCCTCTCAATTTTTGTGGGGCGCTGCTGTGCACAATTGGCTGCCAAATTTCACCCAAAAAATATACAGTCAATTCACTGGACAGTGTATGCTGTGAAGCGCTTTGAGACGTCTTGACAACGTCATAAGCCGCTTTATCATATGCGAGTATTATTATTATCATCATGACTACTGAGACCACAATAGAGGAGCAAATAGATTCCGATCTTCCATTGCCAGGAGCCAACTCACTCCCCCAAGAACCCCACTTACCTTCTCTCCCTCCCCACCCCCAGAAGATAGTCACTAGTTTGGCTGATTTTCACTTCACCTTCTGAGTAAATTTTATTAAAAAAACGAGAGTAACTGTGGTATTCATGAATTTGTAAGCACCATAAAATGCAGCCCCTATTATAAAGCTTTGTTATTAAACCATTACAACTACCACCCTCAGAATGAGCTATCAGGTTCCATGTGTAGCATTGTAGTGACAGGACATTCACTGTAACAGAATACCTTATGACAAGCACATATTAAGCTCTCAAGTCTGAAGGCATTTGGAGTGATTTAAATAATGAACGTTGGTGGTAAATCTGTGTATTTAATCCATTTGTCAAGTTATCCAAGGACCTGGTTAACATCAAGACCGTTTTATATTTACAGGAACATCCTGTAAACAGACACCAACTTAAGACATCGCAGTCAGCTGAGAACTCAGCAAGAATCTCACTAAGGACGAGTGGTTCAACAAAGCCAGGCTACAGATAAGCTGCACTCAAAACACAGGAGCTCCTGCAAAAGCAGAGCGGGCTGTGGTAATCCTTTTTAAAAGCAGCCAATGAAAGACTAGATGTGCTGATAAAACCAGCCCAAGTCATTTAATATGAAAACCGTTTTGTTCTCGAATATAAAAAAAAGTGGGTAATAGGATTTTTTTAACATATCGCACACATATTGCCTTTTGGACTCGCTGAAATGTGATTTAGATCAACTCTGTTCTTGCTTTTGGGAAAGAGTGAGTGTGCAACCTCTACTGTCTCCAGGTCAAATTAGGAATCGCAGCTCAGTGCTACAGGCTTCATTCACTCTATTATTTTTCCATTGTGCACTGTAGCCGGCAGGAAAGAGTTGAATTGATGTTCACAAGTAGCACTCAGTCTCAGAGTTGCTCATTTAACTTGTGCTTAACCTGATCCCAATCTGAACCCACCATGATGGAGCCTAGGTTTGCAAAAACACAGTCAAAATGAACAGATCTTCGCCAACATTACACCCTCTGTCCCCTGCGAAATGCCATTTAAAACTCTCTTTTCCATCAGCAAACCCCCCACCCCACCCTCCCTCCTCCCCACAAAGGAACAGCAACTGGACCCTCACCTTCCTCTGTGCATGGTCAATCATCACATTGTGTGGTTTCACATCCCTGTGCATGATGCCCATACTGTGGCAATAATCCAAAGCCTGTGGAAATAAAATTTTATTCAAAAATGTTACTTATCTGTTCCATGCAATTTATTTTCCACACTCCCCTTCCCTCACTTGCTACCACACAAGGTAACCCACTCTGAATGTCACCAGAAGCTAGCCAGCAACCTGGAGTGATTCATTCACAGAACAAAAACTTGCATTTATATAGCTCCCCTACGTAGGGTAGCATTCCAGAGCACTTAAACAACACTTCATAATGTTGGGAGGGATAGCATAGGGGTTCCATTTCTGCCAATACGTGTCTGACAAAGTCAGGGGATTTCACAGGTATGAGCTCAATGGGTTATCCTGTCTCTCTGCAATGCAGTTCATTGTGCAATGTAAGCCCATCACTCTTGCCCTCTATCACTGCACACATAAAAACTGTTCAATACCATACAGATTTAGCCAATAAGCCATGATAGAAAATCCACTGCTTCTGACTTTACTTTAGCAAATGAATCTGCAGCATCTATTTTTATCATGCCACCAGTGCATAACAAGTTTGGCCTATTGTGTCTGTGATGGCCGTTTCTCCAACTGAACCACCTCATCTAATGCTCACTCCACCTCTTGTTCCACAAACTCGTTAATAAAATTCTATTTCCAAATCGTTCAATGGCAGCTTACGAAAAAGAAATCCACATTCCAAGCACACTTTGGAGTCCTGTAGCTCAGTGGTTAGAGCACTCGCTTTGCAAGCGAGAGACCTGAGTTCAATCCCAGGCAGAGGGCGAAACCTTGGGCAAGTTTCCTTACTCCACACAGAGCCTAATAATAATCCCTCCAAAAAAACAAAACAATAATAAATTGGTCATTTTCAATCTACGACGGTTTGTGGGACATTGCTGTGCGCAATTGGCTGCCGCGTTCGCCCACAATTCACTTTAGTGTGTTCTGTGAAGCGCTTTGGGACGTCCTCCCGACGTGAAAAGCGCTATATCAAATGCAAGGATTATTATTATTATTTGTCCACAGTTTTGTTAATTAACCATTTTATTCCAGTAGTGCAAGTAGTGTTCAGACAGAAAAAAACAGGTGAAAACACACCCTCGAAGGTTCATTTGTTGGATGCAAAAATGATTCCATCTCCAAGTCACATACAATGCTACAAGCAACTAAAACACTAATCTGCTCAAATTGTGGTCCATATCTAGCCCCATTCTTCCTTCATTAGTGCCGTAAGGAACACTCAGAGAAAATGAGCTGATCTATTACTCCAAGAGAAACCCCTCACAATTCACCTTGCCTCGAAGAATGGAGCTACAGAGAGAGAATATGGGCTCTGGTCAAAAAAAGACTAGAAAATGCCCTGAAAATGAACAGGGACAGTAAGACACCAATTCCCCCTTCCCCCACCCAATATTCGGACATGGTAACAGCACTGCAACATCACTCAGGACTCACCTTCAGGATTTCATACATGTAGAACCGGATGTCATAATCTGTCAGGATCTGGTAGAGTTGCTAGAGATGGAAAGAAAGGGGAAGCAAAGTTGTTTTAGCAGAAGTCAGTTCACAGGAGTTTAGGGGGTGGTAGGGGGAAGAGGAGCTGGGGGGGTGGGGTGTAGAAAAGAAACAGGAGTCAAAAGTCTGGACCAAACACCAGTGAAGTCAGGAAAGTATCTGTACTGGTGAGATAAGCAGGCAACTCACCTTGAAGTCTGTGTTATCGATGTGCTCGAAAACAAGGGCTGGAGTCCTTGACTGTAGAGAGAAAATTGGGTCATTACATAAGGCACAGCAGAAAGCCGTTGTAGAAAACCCCAATTATTTAATTACAAAAATAATAATCTCTGCATTTGTTATCGTGCCTTTCACTTCAGGACGACACCTCAAAGCACTTCAGTCTGGTCAGTGTATATTTTGTTTGCAGTCAATTTGCATACAGTAACGTCTCACAAACAATCCCTTAAATAAATGACCCATATCGAAGGGATTGTTGGCCAAGACACGAGGAAAAACTCCCTTCTCTTTTCAAACAGTGCAATGAGATCTTTTAACATCTATGTGGTTTAACCTATCATTCAACAATGTCGGCCTAGAAAATGATAGTTCAATGTCCTGACTTAGAGCTTGAATCCAAAGCATTCCTCTTGGAGAAGTAACTATAACAATTAATAATTATAATCGTTGCATTTATTATAGTGCCTTATCACATCTTAAGATGTCTCAAAGCGCTTCATAGAATATACTGTAAAGTGAATTGACTGTATATTTTGTGGGCGAAACGTGGCAGCCAATAGCGCACAGCAGTGTCCCACAAACAGTCGAGGACCGAGTGACTTTTTATTAATTTTATTGTTTTTTTAAGGGATTATTACCCCCAGAAAAGCAATGCACCAATCGATTGATAACCGGGTTCCTACTTTCTGCTAACAGAGGCTTGTGGGGTAAGGAAACTTGCCCAACATTTTGCCCTGCCCGGGAATCAAACCCAGGTCCTCTTGCTAGTGAGTGCTCCAACCATTAAGCTACAGACTCCACTGTAGCTTTGTCTATCTGTTCAGTTTCTCCACCCAAAAAAAAGGATATTATAATAATCATAATTCTTGCATTTGATATAGCGCCTTATGTCGTTGAGACGTCTCAAAGTGCTTCACAGAATATACTGTAGTGAATTGACTGTATTTTGTAGGTGAAACTCAGCAGCCGATTACGTACCAAAAATTAAGAATAAAGGCCTGATCTGTAGTTTGTAATTCTGAGCTTTTTTTATATACTTAAATTATACATTGGAGTGCAATGACTGTTTTTCTCATAGATTTCTAGAACATGAGCTCCTGGGAAACTGCACAAGCCAGGGAAAATGGATAGGAATCACATTCCATGAGAACTACCAGATCCTACACCAGCCCAAACACTGTGATTGGGTTATAAACGCTGGGTCACAAGCCAGATAGTATTCCTGCATCTAGAGGGAGCTGTCTTTAATGTCACAAATGGCAGCAATTATTTTCAGATTGACATGGGTGACCCCCTGGCAACGCTAGAACACGACAGGGCAGTGGCGTGTGGTGCAGTCAAACGCCTGCTGTTCCTCTGGTGAGCTGCTAATGCTGTAGCAGCTGGTCATTCCTTCGTATTCAATGGCCAGCGTGCCAGTTTCATGACGAACTGAAATTACAACTTGTATTTTTATATCATCTCATGAAACCTCCTCAAAACTGCTTCACAAGTAATTACTGTCAAGTTTTTTTTTCGCAGACAAATGCACCAGCCATTTGCACTAGCAAAGTACCACAACCAGTCACAAGGCAAATGCCCGATTGTCGGCCTGTATAGAATCAACAATTTGTATTTATATAGTGCTCCGCAATAACATCTCGGACCACTTAGATCCACAGCAGACAACAAAATAACTTTTTTTGACTAGAATTTGCATGATTGCAACAGCTTTAATCTTTCCTCTAATTGTGCATCATTGGCCAGTTTGGGAGATGGGAGAGAAGAATGTTGTGGGCACGTTTTCCTGGAGTCTGCCAATGCCATTTTGTAATCAGATGCTTAGGTGGTACGTCAGAATGGCCTGGGCCAATTTTCTGTTCGACCTTCCCCATCCCTGTGCTGAACAGCTGTCTGTTATGATTGGCATCTCTCGAAGACCGGGAATGTTGGGTGAGGAAATGACAGGTCACACCTCGCTCATAAAGCACGCTAAACATTTCGGAAGAGATTGGTGTGAAAATGATATTACCCGATCCGGCCCAATTAACCATACGGCGTTTGTAAGCTAAGACACTGGAGTTTGCACGGAATTCAGGAGACCATCTTGGAGCGGTTACTTACCACAGGGTCCTTCACCACATCTAGCAGCTTTATAACATTGGGGCCACCGCGGAGATTCTCTAGTATCTTAATTTCACGTTTTATTTTCTTCTTTTTAACAGGCTGAAAAAAAAGAGAATTTAAAGAAAAATCTTTAGTTCCATTAACACTCAAAAGAACAAAGGACAAGCACTGGTCACTCATTATACCGAGGATCACAGAAACATTTCTAAATCAAGATAATAGCAAACATTTGTGCACATCAAAAGATACTGAAGTCCTGTCTGCTTCTCAACCTGCTCCATCTTCTCCCTCTCACTTTGATCTCTTGAGTGCCAACCACCATTCCACAAGCACAGACAGACAGCAGGCAAGCAACCATCTGCCAAGTCCTTCTAAATAGTCACACCTGCTATTGCACAGCTGTTTGGAGATGTGACAGAGGTGTCCAATGTGCCTTACTCTATCCTGAGATTCATCAGGTAGAGGCAGGTTAGGCATATTGTCCTCTCTACACAAGACTTCATCATACAACAAGAGTCTTTGAAAGCTACAAAGCAGATGGCATTCTCGTACATATAAATGCAACGTTAACATAACTGACTGCTGCACCGAAATATAAACTATCTCTTACAATGACCTGTTCCAGATTTTTTCTGCAATACACAACAGACATTCTATTCAACTCAAAGCATCACACAAACAGATCAGGTGACATAACATTTATCCATAACATTACTAGCACACAGTGCTGAGCTGAGAATAGTTCTGCGGTTACTGGAGTCAGATCAGCAGCTTTCCCATGATTGCCTTACGTAATCAATCTCAGGCTGTGAGCATGGATCCCATGATAAAGGTGGAAAAAGCAAAGCTGAGAAATACCTTGTATTCATGTCTAGTGGTTTGTCTATCTCTCTCACGCACACACACACACTAGGACTTTGTGGATTTTTTTTGTCAGATACATGTCTGACACATGCGGAAAGCCATCACCATGATTAAGAGTATCCAAACCAAACAGAGTTCCATGTTTCCAACTAATACATGGAAATTCTAGAGGTATTTGATGGAATGTGCACTCTCACCCTGGAGGGCCACATTCTGCTTACCTAATTCTGAAAAAGTACTAGGTGCAGGATGGCAAGAGCCAAGGCTTGGGGACCCCAGAGCGGGCTTTGGGATAACTACTGGAGTCTAATCAATTACAACTGCATAGCTTGCCTTTAAGAGCATCTGCCTGATAAGCTTTCCCACTGCTTGTCCATCTAGGACCACCCTGCACGTTAGGGTTTTGGCTTGCAGGGTTAACAGGAGCTGAGTGGGATGAATCCCTAACCCCAGTGACTGGTCTGTCCTTCTACATACTGCTGATGACCAGGCTGTGTTGTTATCAGCAATACCCTTGAATACTATGGACTCACCTGGCTCACAAACTGGACTATCGAGACCGCCACAGGGGACTGGTTCGATTCTGACTTTCCATTGCCATGTCACCTTAGTTCCAAGGAGATCCCGCTTACTTTCCTTTCTCCATCTCACTCCACCCCCACCAGGAGGATACTCTATTCTGATAGGGAAAAAGCCAAACTTGACAAAACAAGTTATGTACATTATCGTACATTACTTGTGGGATTCCAGTTAAGAGAGATGAGTCCAAACAACTGCAAAGAGTTAATAACAGTAAGCAAATCAATCTCTTTCTCACTGTCACCAAAGGGCATTTAAGGGATTCTTCAGTCACAATCAACCACACATGGTGCTCCAGGGAGTAATCTATACAGGAGTCAATCTATACTGACTGATAAATATTAGCAGCAAACTGGGCTTTATTCCAGAGCATGTGGATTCTGTCCCAATAGAATAACAACAAGAGAATAAGAATAATTTATGGGCAGGCAGAGAAGATGGTCAGTTCAATGGGTCACCTCGGAAATGGAGTACAATCTCCATTAGGGACCCTGGAATAAAAGGTGAGCCAAGATCAACAGTGATCTCATGTCACAAACCTGACTTTCATTTGAAGCTGAGAAAAGCTCAACATTTGGTCGAACCGAGCAGATGTGCGAAGTTGGTGATGGGCTTCTTCACCAGCTCAACATACACCAGGTCTTGGCGAGGTTCCAGCAGCTGAAGCACAATACAATACTTGTGATGTCCATTCCAACTTGACTCCCACAGACAGAGACAAAGCACACACATCCTGCCACCTTCCTAAACTGTCGGTGCCAGGGGTCTCCACTGCTAAACTACTTTGCCAAACGTGACCTTACAGAAATACAAACTGTGTGAAACATCTGAAGTGGCAACTGGTGATTTTAATCAAAGCCACTGATAGAATTGCTAGTTGGAAGAACTGGTCGGAGCAGTGTAGTCTCTCCTCCAAAAGTAGGAGGTGCCCCTTCAAAGAAGCTGCAGGTGCCATAGGCAAAGAACCAACCAATTGGTGAATTGTCCAAATGGCCAAAAAGGAGAAATGGTCCATCTCTATGCTTGTAATGGTGCACTGAAAACCAACAGACATTCCATATACCACTGTAACAGGTTCCAACTCTCCTGGAGTTTACTGTGGGGGGGGCAGCAGTGTTGGTCAACAGAGTCCAAGGACTAAATTTCTGTCTTGAATTAAGAAAAAAAAAGGGTGAACCTATCTAGTCAGATAAAAAAGACAATACTCTCAGACTGGGCTATATTCCAGAGTACGTCACTGCCAGAGTATGTTAAGCATTCCAAGACATTGCCCCACACGAAGGGCGCTATATGAACACAAGTTGTTGTTGTTAACCGTTGCCGAGAAAATAGATAAGAAATCTGTCAAGAATAGATCGAAGGAACCCAAATTTAATTCTATAAGGTATTCAAGAAGCTATTCTGGGAATACCCAGTTGAGTGTTGTTATTATACGTACACTAAGGTAGGCATTAGAACCGTAGAAATTTACAGCACTAAGGAGACCATTCAGCCCATCATGTCTGTGTTGGCTTTTTTAAAGAGCAATCCTTTCAGTCCTATTATCTGTTTTTTGGGACCAGAGACACTTACAGACCAAAGAAGCCACAAGGCCTTAGAAAATGATTAATGCTAACAAATGTGAACTTTAAATGAATGAGGTGACAGGCAAAGGGAGAAAAATATATTCTCACCAGTGGAGGAAAACAGGTAAAACTCAATGCGAGGTTTCAGTTTCATAATAATAATCCTTGTATTTGATAGTGCCTTATCACGTCTTCGAGACATCTCAAAGCACTTCACAGAACATACTCTAAAGTGAATTGACTGTACATTTTGTGGGCGAAACACAACAGTGCACAGCAGTAAAAAAAATGACGATAATTTGTTTACTCAATCCATGACAAATAGTCGTGGATTGAGTAGACATTTTCATTATTTATTTTTTTGAAGGGATTATTACTCCCAGAAAATCACCAATCGACTACCAACCAGGTTCCTACTTACTGCTAGGTAAACAGAGGCATATGGAGGAAAGAAACTTGCCCAGTGTTTCGCCCTGCCCAGGAGGGCGAACCCACGTTCTCCCACTTGCAAGGCAAGTGTTCTAACAACTAAGCTACAGGATTCCATGAAGCAAATGTGGAGACATTTCCTGTGCTGATCCACCAGAGCGGCTGACAAAATCAAAGCTCAGGAATCCTCCAGGTAAATAGAACATTGGTGGCAAGATGGTCATAAAGATTCAGTATTCAGATATATCAAAATAAAAAAGTTCTAATCTTAAAACAAATGGTATGTTTAACTCAGGTCATCCATTATTACAGCATGTTCTGTGCTAACTACTGAAGATCTTGGCAGGACACGTATGAAGTACAGTTATTGCAAAAAGGAAGAGCTAAGTTAGAAACACACACAATTAGAAAATACACACTGTGCTAAAAACCTGTTGTGAGATGAATTCAGTTTCTGACACTGCGGAAGTTGTTTGTAAATTTGTGGTTTAAAATCTAATTTAGTCTTGAACTTGAGAGGACATCTGTTTTCAGGAGTGTAAATAACTGCAGGCAATGGTTTCCATGGTACCTGTGGAGGGAAATTTACCAAATGCTTCATATTGAAGCAATTTCAAAGCTACACTGGAAGTAGGATTTTACAAGAAAGAATTTTAACAATGCAAACCTGAACTGCTTTCAACCTCCAAATCTCTCGTCTAAAAGACAAATCTGATAAGAATGTGCACACAAGACAGTAACTCCACTCTACGTGATAAACTGGGAAGTTCTTTGAGACATTGTGATGTGAAAGGAGCTATATTAAATGCAAGGATAATTAGTATAGGTCATAGTCACACTGCACCTTCCTCTCAACTTCCCAATGACCAATCTTCAATGTAGTGCAATACAGTGAGAACATGTGTCAATTGAAATTTCAAGCTTGCACAGGAACATCAATGGACAATTTTAACAATAATACGTGTCTTTGACAGCGTTTTTCACGTCAAGAGGATGCCTCAAAAGAGCTTTGACCAACTTTATTTGGGATTGAATAGGATATTTTAACATCCACCTCAACAGGCAGATGGGACCACGTTTTAATGTCTCATTCAAAGAATCAACAGCAATTGTGCCATGAGGGAGAAGAGAAATGAAGGGTATAGGAGAGGGGATTGATTAGGACGGGTTGAGGCTCATGTAGAGTATAAAGTTGAACTGAATAATTTGGCCGAGCGTTTCCATGCTGAACAGCCTATGTAAAGCCCTACAGGATTAAACCCACATCGAGAATCAAGGATATTTTGTGGAGATGGAACTCCGCAGATTGAGCTTTAATAGATTTCACTGAAATTTACATTAAATTTTATTGTAGACCCCAAATTCTCATGTAAAAGAAATCAAGCCAATAGTCACATCATATAACTTAAAATAGTTGAATAAAAACTGTTCCACAACATTACTAGTCCACAGTAATCAATTATTTACACGGGTCAGCAAATCAGTAACAATTTTAAGAATCTCAAAAGAAACTAAAGAAGAGGTTAGGTAAACATTTGTTACGCGGAGGGTGGTTGAATTGTGGAATTCTCTGCCAAACACAATTTTTGAAACAGAGTCCATAAATCGTTTCAATTGGGATTTAGATAAACGTTTAAAGATGAGCATATTAAAAGGTATGGGGAGTGAGCAGGAGAGTTGGATTAGACTAGGAGAAAAAACACCAGCACAGATTTGATCCAAAAGACCTACTTTGATGCTGAAGCATTCTATGATTAATGGCATTTCTTTTTGACCGTGAAGAACATCCAATTTGGTGCACAAAGTACTGAGCTCTCAAGTCAAAGGGGCTACCTACCATATCATATTGTGTCACACAAAATAGCAGCTGAAAGCATCCAAAGCAAAGAATCGCAGCCTCACTTGAGCCGCATTGCAGGCCATGCAACAGGATGAACAGAAAGTCTTTTTGAAAGATCTACAATTATTCCGCTGAATTAACTAATCCGTGGAAAGGTCACAATTCATGACGAAATTGCTCAATAAATCAGTATGTAATATTCAATGCACTTAATACCTTGTATCTTGATTAAACTAAGAAACTAGATTTTGAAGTGGAAAAAACACGAAGATGCAGAATGAACCAAAAATATTGGCAGAATTTACCAAAAATGCTCCAAATTTGCACTGACCAAGTAACTCTGAAATCGACGTTTAATGGTGCATTAATGTAGAGTGGAGAGCATAAGGAGGCTGGGACTCCAAAGACATTGATAAACTACTTTTATTTTGATCTGGTACACACAGAAATTTTCTTCATGCTTAAGAGGCTCTAAATTAACCAATGAGAGCTCCACAGCAGCATGGAAACTGGTTTGTCTGGAAACTGCAGATTATTAAAAACTCAGCTGCTTGTGTCCTCTCCTGGGGCTCACCCTGCTAACCTAATCCTGGAACATATTAAGTGGAGGTTGAGATATTGCTAGAGTTCAACCAGCTAAACCCATGTCTGGCGAGAGATGTCCCGCTGCTCGACCAGCTACGACCACAGACGTGTTTGTGGTTTAGTTTTGCAGGTTTGAAAGTTACTGAGTGGGCAGAATCCTAGTCCACAGTGACTGGACAGCTATTCCAAAACCTGCTGAGAAGCCAGGATGACTATCTAATAATAATAAACCTTGCATTTGATTAGCGCTTACCATGTCTTCTAGATATCTCAAAGCGCTACACAGAATATACTCTAAGGTGAATTGACTGTATATTTGTGGGCGAAACCCGGCAGCCAATTGCGCACAGCAGTGTCCCACAAACAGTCGTGGATTGAGTGACCAAATTATTATTACTATTTATTTATTTTTCTTGAGGGATTATTATCAGGCGTGAGGAGTAAGGAAACTTGCCCAAGATTTCGCCCTGCCGGGAATCGAATCCAAGTCTCTCGCTTGCGAGGCGAGGGCTCTAACCACTGAGCTGCAGGACTCCTACGGGACTAGTCCATCATCAGTGTGCCTTGGGAATACTATGAACCTTCCTGGCTCAGGAAACACAATTACAACCATGAGACAGTCAGAGGATTCATTTTAATTCCAATATTCCATTGTTGTGCACATCACATTGCCTGTCTCCACCTTACCTCTCCACTCAAGCTACTAAGACTCTCATCCATGCTTTTATTCTATCCAGGCTTGACTGTGCTAATTCCCTGCTCACCAGACTTTCCAACTCTTCCCTCCACAAACTGCAGATTATTCAAAACTCTGCAGCTCGTGTCCTCTCCCGCGTGAGCTGATCATGCCGCATCCTCACCCAGCTTCACTGGCTCCCCATCCCCCAAAGGATCAAGTTCAGGATCCTCGTTCTCACTTTTAAGTTCCTCCGCGGTCTTGCTCCTTCCTACCTCTGCAACCTACTTGAATGTTATCAACCTGTCCGCGCCCTCTGCTCGGCAGGCACTGGCCTGCTCCATGTCCTCTGCCCTCTCCAGCTTTTATGCCCCACCTTCTGGAACTCCATTCCAGGAGCTCTCTGCCTCTCCCCCTTCAAGGCCTGTCTTTGACTGTGCCTTTGGTCATCCTCCCACCTCCACCCCACTTGACTCCAACCCCAGCTCAGGTGTAAACCCTTCACTGTTCAGCGGCTGGGGTGCATTCCCGATGTGAAAGGCGCAATATAAATGTAATTTGTTGTTGTCGTCACCTTACAGCCAACTTAGTTCCAAAGAGACCTCATTCATCACCCAAGAGGACAACAGCTCATGCATGTTTTAACATAATACAGGGTGAACCAAACGTATGCTCTTTCATCATCATAAGGCTCAGATTCTCCCCTTCACCTGGAAGGGCAGCACAACAGAAGCTAGTGCACACATGGTCCGATTACTCAAATGAAAGTATTACAAAGTGACACAGAAATGTCCCATTTCTTTTTTTTTTAAAAATCAGAGGATCTGCAGATAATTTTATAGCCAAAGAAATGGAAACCCTTCAAACTGACAGGATAAATTCTGTAATGAAGACATTCCTTCTTGCTAGGCCCCTCACTGACACTTGACATTTTGATGGCGTTTTAGACACAGCTCCTGCGGAGCAGCTTCAATTAAATCTAAAATCCGAGATCACACGGTGCAGTTTTAATCGCATAGATAAAAAGGTGGAAAATGCCAACGAGAATGAAGACGTAAAGGGTACTATGCCAGTGTCAGATTACAGAGCATTTTAACAGATTTAAAAAAATATTTCTTCCTATTATCTTGCATTTAATTGTTAACTTATCACCAGAGATTCCAAACCAGTTCAGTGCCTCACCAATCCACATGGCTCAAATCATTAATTAACCTGTTACCCAACATCCAGCACCAACCAACCAGCCGTGAATTCCCAGAATAGTCCTGATTGCTCCACAATTGTCCAACAAGCCCAGAATTGTCCAGTTGACCCCTGACTGAAAGGTTTGTGCGTACATACAAACTTAAAGCTTTGTCATTCAGATTCTGTCTGCCCCTGGTTGAAATCTGTCCCCGCGCACAGTAAAATAAGGCATTGCTGCTCCACTGCACGCGCATTCAGCTCCATATAGGCTGAAGGCTATTGAGAACGCCACGCACAAAATGTATGCCAAAGCTGAATAGAAAAGGCTGATACTCACTTTCAGTATTTTGACCACCACTTTCTCATTGTTTGTTATGTTAATGGCCTCAAAGACTTCACTGTATTTTCCACGACCAAGCTTTCGCACCAGCTGGTAATCATCCTGGTTCCTGTGGCAAAACAGAAGAGCAAATAATATTCAACTGTCTGTAACAAGCAGGACGTTTCTGTCAATCGTGAATGACTGGTCTGAAGGGCAAAAGGGGCTCACAGTCAGCCTCCAGGTTTTCATACAATGTCACTTGTATAGCGCCCTTCGCGCAGGGTAGCGTCCCGGAGCGCTTGTCTGTTCAGTAATCGGGAGCCAGTGGAGTCTGGCAAAGACTGATGTGATAGGGGTACAGAGATTTATGTGGTAAGAATCCTGTGACAGAGTTCTGAATTAGCTGTATTTTGTGTAATGTGGAGTTAGTGAGACCAGCGAAGAAGGCATTGGGATAGTCCAGCCGGGAAGTGACAAAGGTGAAGGAACACCTCATTCTACATGGGTTCCTGCACAGGGTGCAGCAGAGAATGAATACCATTCACGTACGCAAAGCACTTTTATCAGTCCTCTTCCCTAAACAGTAACCCTCAAACACAAATCACTCCAGGTACAATTAATTCTGATCGAATTCATTCTAAGGACCAGGGTAAAGGAGTAAAGCTGTTTACTCATCCCACAAGGGGCAGTTTACTCACCAGGACACAGAACTGAGCATGGGCCTCCCCTTTCACTGATAAAAATAAAGGTGCCTAGTTTCTCCAAGGAAATGTATTCAGTCTAAACGGACTAATGTCCTTCCCTTCCCCCTGGCAGAAGGATCCCATGTAAAGAGACAAATTGCATTGTGACGCACATCAAGAAAAAGTCAATTCTGTCCCCAGCCTTTTAAAAGTCACTTTGGTTTGGTGACAGTGGAGGGCTGGTTAGTGCATCAGTACTCTATGTGGAGTTAGCAGCCACGACTTGAGCCCAGCACCTTGGGACATCTTTACAAACGTAATTTTGTTGTTGTTGATCCAGTCTGTACTGTCAGGAGGAGGCAGTGAATGAAGCACATTCACTCCCTTTCTCACAGTCATTGTGGATGGGGAGCAGTCGACAACTCAGAACGGCAGACGTGTAGCATCATGATTCTCATGTCATCCAACATTCAGGGGATAGGATTAAAGTTTAAAGGAAACGTTTAGGTTCTAAATATGTATATATGGGAGGATCGGAAGGAATCACAAAAAAAAGTGTACGGAATTAATTCCAAGACCTTCAAATCCGCAGCAATCGGGTTGCACTGAAGAGCTGTTACTTTAAAAAGAGACATTTTAACTTTTTCCGTTTCAAAGCTTCCTTCCTCCTACCACCCCCTCCTGCCTTAATTGGAGATTTGCTATTTTGGGATAAGAGAAGTTTTCAAACGAAAGGTCGAGTTTTTTTTAAAACCTGAAAATTCTTGCAAAGGGGTTGTGGTTATTACAAAATAGTCAGAGTGCTTTTTTTTAAATAAGCACAAGCTTCTAATTATCATGCTTTGAGACTCGGTTACGCAAATTTGTGTGTGGGGTAGAAGGTCAGAAGAGGTACAACAACAACATGCATTTATATAGGGGTCTTCATGCCAGACAGCTTACTGGAACTCTTAGTAATCATTTCAATTTAAGAAGCATTGGAGTGAAATAGACGTCGGTCTGAAAATTTGGGAGGAAGAAACATTTAAACACATCAAGCTATCAGGAAACAGGCGGCACTTGTTGCTCATTTCCTTTTTGACATCTTGCATGGTAACAGGTGGGTTCAGTGCTGTGGCTAATGCTGTGTACCAACTTGCCTCCGCCCTGCTACTAAAAGTGTTCCAAGCAAGAGAAAAAAAACTACTTTCACACTGCCTCAGCGTGTCAAAATACCCCAAAGTGCTTCACAACTAATTACACGAGTATGGCTATTGTGTTTGTGTAGACAAATGCAGCAGCCATTTGTCCCACCATCGTTCCACACACAGCCAGAATGTAAATGACTCATATAAAACAAAGTTAGTTTGGTTTGTCAATTTTCAGCTCAGCTACTGTGAAGCAGAATCGCAGTGAAGCCATTTTGAATGGAAAGGATCATTCTCAGGCAACATATGGAGTTTTGATGGAGACGAAAAAAAGCCATAACCCAGCCCTCCCTCTCTCTCCTTCCAAAAGAACAAAAGGCCTCCGAACCCAAACAAACACACACACACACACACACTTCAGAGGAGTCTATACAACAGCAAGTAGATTCCTTGGCTCCTGTAGGAGATTTTTTAAGTCCTCAAGATGTTTGTTCAAATTCCTGAGAATCTGGATTCAGCTTTGGACTCCTGGTCCTTTGTAGCCCCAGACAGCACATTAACTGCACACGGACCATTTTATTTATCCAAGGAAATGTACATTTCTCGTGTATATCTTCATATGTGCAGACAATGTATTAGGCAGGACTTGTTTGCAAGGCAGAATAGCGGGTCATTGGGGTGAGTAAACATCATTCCACTTCTACTGAAAAATTCTCATTGGAAAATAAAGCCTGGCTCCTCTGAGCACAAGTTTGATGAAGGAGTTGAACAGAGGGGAAGAGAACTTTGCATATCAGGATCGTCCGAGGTTCAAACATGATGTGGCATTGGGGATGCTATAATTGGCATCCCCGTCTCTGCACTTATTAGGGGTGGGGCAAGGCGGGGGAAAAATGAGTCAGGGTTCCCACTTCAAATTATTATTCAATGACATTGACTGGAAAAGTACTTATGTGCTGCAGACTAGATGAGGGCAGATTACGGTCAGATGCGATCCCCATCTCTGCTGATAGACTAAAGACACCCAAGAACAGACAGGCAGATAAAGCGCCAGAGGCTGCCTGTAGAATCAGTCAATGCCTTCTGGAGAGCAGGAGAGAGGGGGGGAGAAAAACTAACCCTGTGGGCTGTGTGCAGATTGTCAGAGTAACTAATATTATGACACCACGGTCATCACTTGCAAAGCATCTGCTCCTTACCATTGGCAACGCAGTGCTCGGTATGCCTGCAATCTGTTTACAGACCAATCTACATTTCAGCAAGTACTCTACATAAACTTAAGGGGCGGGGGAGAAAGAGAGGTAAAGGAGAAAGAATCACAGGCTGATCTCTTAGCTAAGCAACAAACGTTCCTGTTACACACCCGGTACTGTAAAGCTCGCCTTGTGCATTGATATTCACATGTAGGCCTTCTACCATGGATCTTGTAATCCAGGAAGAATGATTATTTTAAAAACGAAGGGGCAGCCCTGATGGTGCAGTGACAGAGCTGCAGCTTATGGATCAGGAGCTTGCTGGCTCCAGTGCAGGTGCGTTTGCTGTTTATTGGGGTGCTTGAGGAGATAATATGGTCCAGTCCATCCTATGGATTGGGAGGGGAAATTCAGCTAGGGGAGAAAAATGAGAAGAAACTAGATGGACTGACTTTAAAAAAAACTAATGCAGCAATATCATCAATGTAAATGGGAGTACACGTCACTCCTATACTCCCCACAACAATAAAGTTCTGGCAGGGATCAGCAGGTCAGCACACTATACCTCGAAACAAGCCCAGATTAATGAACGATAAATTTTCCTTTTTTGATAGCAGCAAGATCCTGTTCAAAACACATTCAATGCATTTTTAACTCAGTTACCAACGAGAGCCCAGATCACAAGCGTCTCCAGAATTTGTCACAGACTGGCAAACTGCAAAAAGCCAGAGCAGAAAATTTTAAAAATTCACATGGGGTGGGATGAAGTTGCTATTCTGAGGTTGAAGCTGAAGGGCATTGACATAACAGTGTCAAAGGGGCTCTACTTTACAACTAGGCCACACTGAACTTGACCTGATAGTACTTCACGCTCACACCAAAGGAAAACTTGAAATTAATATTATTTCCCCATCAACTACATAACTCCCCTGAAGAGTGTAATTTGTTCTAACGCTCTCCCTTTCTCAGTCTGCCCTGGGTATTGCAATAGCCTGTCAGCTTGTTGAAAGGAAACACTCTCCAATTAATTAAATCTCTTATTTGCAGTCCCATTTGCTGCCTAAGCACCCAGGATCTTGTTACCTAGAGTAAGATACTCTCAAATGACCTGTTCCATTAGGATGTGCTCTTTCCAGGGCCAGGTAGAGGCAAACATGGCAGCAAATTGATTGCAGATTCTGAACAACAAACTATCAAGAAAATTGAGTCATATAGCCAGGAGGATGGGAAAATCCACATAGCAATGCGAAGGTGAGCCTCCCCATGTTAATGGCCAGGTTTAGACAAAAGAGGTGCTCCTTACACTTAGTTGGCATCTGGCTGCATCAATTCACAAGTCGTTGCGTAGTGCAGCTCAACAGAGCAACAAGTCTTCATAATGTCTGCATGCCACAGAGGACAACATTCTAAAGACACATGCGCACGCACACACACACACACGTGCACAGACTACAGGCCTGTCCCTTTATACCTGCCATCGTACCGTTGGTAATGGGGACTATATGGTATTTCATTATATTCTTTTAGAACCTTTGCCAAGGCATTTGTCTGCCATTCAAAGAGTGCAGTCCACAGATTACCACACAAGCTACAGAATTGCAAGGCACTAGCCGAGACTCCCACACAATTGCAAAAGGAGTCAACTCCAAGCAGTTTTTAGCAATATAAGGGAGTCCAGTTCGTCTCAAACAATATCACTGGCTGCACGTTCTGTGGCTTGGTAGCCTCAAAATCACTTGCATCCTACCACAGAATATGCAAGCAGAATGCTCCTATGCATCGATTGAGTACTAATAGGTTACAAGGAATATATGAATGAAAAATGTTCAGCTTCCCCCAATAACCTAGTTAAGATGGGGAACTCAGAGACCAGCATATCAACAAGCTACATGTCTAGCACCCCACTTCCCAGTGTTCTACTCTTATTATCCTAACAATCCTAGCCCCAGATTTTTTTTTAAAGAATAAGAGAAATCTAAGTGAATCCAAATCCATAGTGCAGGGCATCACCAGATTTTAGGACGTCCTCCTGACGTGAAAGGCGCTCTATAAATGGAATCTTGTTGTTGTTGTTGTTGTTTAGAGGCAGAAAGCGATAAATCAAGTAGTAATTCTCAAGCTTGGATGTTAAAAGCTTATAAAGTTAAGGAAGACATTCCCACTTATCCAAAGGTTAAAAATCCACACCAATTATTTACTCCTGCTTTTATTCTTTAGGAAGGTTTGGATGCAAAATTTATGCACAGGCTCAACTTGTACTCTATTACAACCACTGAACTTTTGAAATCATCTGAAAACATGTGCATCAATACACCAGGCCTTAATCACAAGGTTTGCGAATCTCAATTTAGAGCAAGCACAACGGGTATGTATCACATATACAGTTACTGTGTCCAAGGAGCCTGTGGGTGCTAACAACATAAGTGTTACCAATGACATTTAGGATTAAGCAACACAGCATAGTTTAGTAACTGGGCAACCTTCTGGCCAAAATCTCTGGAGTCCCACACTGCTCAGCCTCAGTTAAAACAGCTCTAGTTGTGCTTTATAAGATAGCAAATTATTTGCCACACTACAAGACAAATTGACAAATGCAGTGACATTCAGCTCATGGTCTGACATAAATTAAATGCATCTTTTGCCACCTGTGGCTATGCGATCAGGCCACACTGACTTTCCTCATTCCATCTTTCCTGATCACTGGCTGATCTTCTGGCAGCACCACTGACTTTGTCTTCCTACTGTTTTTTTTGCTACCAAACCACTTCAGCAGAGCTGACAAGAACATTTCGTCATAAATAATCTGGCTGGCACCTCCCCTACTTAACTTTTCGGTCTGAAATTAATTCAGGGCTAACAGAGGGCGTTAGTGTAAAAGACATTATCCGAGTGAGTGAGGGCAGTTCTGTTTATTCTACGTGGTTTTGAAAAATAGATAGAAAAGCAGCACGCGGCACAAACCCAACAGAACTTAGATGGTTGTTGCACGTTCCTTGGCAGAGGATGTCTCCAGAGCGCGTTGCACAGCTGACTTAGGCGACCAAGATTGTGGGGTGGGGAGGGAGAGGAGATAAAGCTGAGGAGGGGTGGGGCAGGTATAAAATGACCAGATTAAGCAAAGGCAGAGGGACTCCAGAACGCAGCTCCACAGAACAGTGCAGAAGGGCTCAAACTAATAAGCCACTCCAGGATGATTTGCAGTCGTCGCCTGAACCCCTAAAGATTTTTCTCTCATACAAAACAAAGTTGATAGGGAGGTGCCTGTTCCAACTTAGCTCAGTCTCCTCACCAGCACCAACTGCAGAGTCAGAACACCCCCCAAACAGTAAGGCGCTGCCGACAGACAAGGAACAGATTATAAATCTGTGGTTATTATCATATCACTCCAAGTCTTAGAGAGAGAGAGAGAGAGAGAGTGACTGACTGACTGACTGCAGGTGTTGGAAATCTAAAATAAAAAGTTTGATCAAATGGGGGTCAAACGTTGACCTCTTCTCTTTCTGTGGCTTTCCAGCAGATTTTAGTCACGGTTTATCACCGGAGAAAAAAAACTGCAGTTTATTACCAGAGACTCCAATGATAAAAGACATTTCTATCACTTCTCTCTCTCTCTCTCTCTCCGGACATTCACACTGAACCCTCCGACATCCGCGGCTCTTACCCCCACTCAGGAACGTGCGACTCGTAGTCCCAGTAGTCGCGGGGTTTCAGGCTGTTTACCTCGGCGTACACTCGGGCCCTGCTCCCGGTAGCCGGACCCGGCATGACAGAGCCGCGGCTCGGCTCTGGGGAAACGGGGAGAAATCTTACGCGAGAGGCCGTGGGGGGGGGAGGGAAAGCGGACACGGAGCTCAGGCCGCACCGCCACCGGACACGGCGAGCGTCAGGAGCCAGGCCCGGCCGCAGCCCACGCAACGCCGCCCGGGACAAGCGAAGCGGCAGCGTCCAGGGAGCCAGCGAGCGCTTCCCGGGTGGACGGGCTGGGAGAGGCCGGGGCAGCGAGAGCAAGGCCCCGCGCTGGGCAGGCTGAGAGGCCGGTTCAGGCGAGAGCAAGGCCCCGGGGCGGGCGGGCGGGCGGGGGGCGGTCAGACAGGCCGGGAATGCGAGGCCTGGTATCGGCAGCGGCTTTAAAGGAAAACCCCGCAGCGGGCCAAGCCGCGGCGCCCGGAGCGAGAGCAGCCCGAGAAACCGGTCACAAGCCCGGTCTGCCAGGCAGAGAAGGGACCGAGCGGAAAAAAAGCGACGGGCGCCGGCGGCAGCGCCCCCTTAGCGGTGCCCAAACCCAGCCCGAGAGCCTCCTGCTGCAGCGCCCCCTACCAGCACCTGGCGGTCAGTGCGAGCCTTCTGCTCTAGCGCCCTCTAGCGGCGCCTGGAGTCAGCACCTCGCCTGCTCTCAGCTCACGTGCTGGAAGACATCAACCAGCAATGCCAACATCTCAAAGCCCTTCCCAAGTGATCGCTGTCAAGTGTAGTGACTGTGTATCCGCAGGCTAAGGCGGCAGCCGCGTGCACCGCCGCAGGCGTCGGCCCAGAGCCTCGAGCTCGAAAGCCTCCCGGCATAGGATCTTGCGCAACTTTCTGACCCAGAGGGGAGAATGCTGCCAACTGAGCCCGGAGGACAAGTACATATGTTAATGTAACTGTAGGTTATACCCATTCTACATATTGCAATTGTAAAATAATAGCCAGTATACTATATTAAAAGTCTGCAGTTATCAATAACATACCAGTGATACATTATCTAACTGTTTCAGGTGCACATAAATTAAAGTTTCCAATGTCCAAGTCAGATCAAACCAAAATTTCCTGTTCGCCCTCAGCGTTCAAGTTGATGCGACAAAAATGCTCAGATGCAAGGAACTACGGCACTCTTGTCATTAATTTCGGTAGTGAAGTTAAAGTTGCATTGAACTACATTGAAGTTGCTTAATTTTAGATTCAGTGTGTGTCAGCCTGGCTTAGACTCTTGCTTATGAGTCAGAAGGTTTTGGGTTTAAGCCTCACATTGGGGCTTGGAATCACATACTCTAACCTGACGCCCCAATCCAAGTACTGGGGAGATATTACATTGTCAGTGGTGCCATCCTTTGGATGAGATGTTAAACCAAGGTTTTGCCTACCTTTTCAGATGGATGTTAAAGACCCCATATCGCTATTCGAGAAGAGAAGGGAGTTTCTCTCTCCCGCTGTCCTGGCCAACAATCCCCCAAATAAAATTGGTCATTCACTCCATAGCTGTTTGTGGGACACTGCTGTGTGCAAATTGGCTGCCGCTTTCTCCCACAAAATATACAGTACCTCCACTTTACAGTATATCTTGTGAAGTGCTTTTGGTCAGCTTGACGACGTGATAAGGCGCTATATCAAACGTAAGGATTGTTATTATTCATTGTATGATGTAGTGTTGAAACTGAGTATCAGAGAATAGATGACTGACAATGAGTTGGAAAGCAGTCTAGTACTTTGAGCTGCTTGGTTTTAGCATTATTGCTCTAACCATGAGGAGAGGGAGTTGTGAATAATGTAAATGATTAGGTAATGTAGATAAGAGCAACCAGTGAAATGGCATTGGATGACTGGCACTTTAGTAATACAAATTTATGGTGGCAGTAAAATATAATATTATTGATACTGTATTTTTAGTGGAGAATAATACATAGGAGAAAACACAAGAAAATAATCCCCTTAATAAGTTTAAAACCTGACAAACTACAAGTTTAAAGCCTAAGAAGTGCATTATCATTTGAACTCCAAATAATTATTTTCTAACTATTCAATTTAAGTAATATATGACTTGGATTTAAGTCCAGCGCCTTGGGACGTCCTCCCGACGTGAAAGGCGCTCTATAAATGAAATCTTGTTGTTGTTGTTGTACAGATTGGTCTGACTCCTAGTGGCTGAGTAATAGAACCTTTTTGCTGCTTGTACTAATGTGGGCAAACATCACCAGCCAGGATGGTTCATTCAGATATGTGATGGTTTTCCCAGATGTGTAAATTGTTATAATTTGTGAAATAAAAGGATTTAATGTCCATGTAATCACTGAGAAATGACATCACTCTGTACGTCGATTCTGAAAGGAGAACCCTTCCTTTGTTTGACAATCAATCAAATGGCAATGGTTAAACTGGGAAATTAAAAACAAAAAGTGAGAGATTTGTGCATTTTCATTCAGGTTAAGAAAATAGATAATCCTCCTAAAATAATAATACTTACATTTGATATTGCCTTTCCCACGGATGTTTCAAAGCACTTCACAGGATTTATTGTAAAGTGTATTGACTGTATTTTGTAGGCGGACACATCAGCCAATTTGCACACAGCAATGTTCCATAAGGGGCACTGAAGTAAAAAAAAGTTCCCAAGATATAATTTTCTGGCAGAAATCTATTTAATTTGTTCTTGAAACAAACAACACTTTCTGCTCCACCATCTCCCCCTAGGGAGCCTACTTCACAAGTTTGTTACTTGTCCACAGAAGTAGTGTTTCCATAGATTTGTTCTGAATTCACCCCTTTCATTCGCAGTCCATGTCCTCTGGTTGTACTGTTCAATACAAGTGAACAAATGTTGGAGAGAGAGAAAGGCAATGCACATTTTTTTGAACAGAAAAAATTCAGCTGTTACAATTATACACAGACATGCAACACATTCCTTGTCCATTTTATGCCTTGTCCTTTTCACTCTTTTGTCCACTTCACGCCTTGTCCATTTCACTCTCTTGCCCATTTCATGCCTTATCCATTTCACACCTTGTCCATTTCCCTGACCTGTTGTAACCTTTTCTATTTTAGATTTTACTGTGTCCAATTATTTATTATGTCACTTACTTTCCCCCCCATGCCTTTCGGTCTCTGCTCCTTGTTCCAGCTTCCTCCGGCTGCAGTGCGGTTCCAAGGGAGTTGGTTACCCTCCAGTATGCCACCTGAATGACCATTGCTGACTTGTGAGCCTTAACAGTGAACAATGCAACTCGACCATGCCGTCCCGATTAACAGGGACTCCTCTTCGACCGTGCTTACGGCCACCTCCCCCCGGCTCGGAATCAGGCTCCGTCACTGTTAAGCGCTCTGAGACGCTACCCTGTGTGGAGGGCGTTACATAAGTGCAAGCTGTTGTTGTTAGACGGTCCCCGGATGAGGTATTTGTGTCCCCGGTCAAATTTGCCCAGTCTTGAGTTCAGCAACAAACTGAGCAAGAACGATAACGTCCCCAAACAGATACATTCATCAGAGAAACACAGCCATGAATCCAACAACAGGCTTCTCCAGTCACTAACGGCCAGTATCAGGAATTATGCTGAGCTCAACTTTTCTTAAAAAATGCGTCGTCGGATTTGGTTCCGGAGAATACGGTCACCCGGCCGTAAGAGGCTGTCACAGCCGCGCCCCACTGTGCTGGCACACACGCGTGCATTAACTCGTAGAAGTTGTTGCAGAGGAACAAGGAGCCGGGAACCCCAGCTTGTAAACTGCCCCCTCCCTAACCTTGGGAAAGCCAGGGCCAGTTTAGCTTCCCCATCGCGGTCCGGCTCAACGCGGGCCGGGAGCCGAACCAGCAGCTCCGGCCACAAATAAAGCCAAGCCCCTGCTTTGACATTCTTTCAGGCCTACACCTTTCCAGGTCTCCAGTTGGGCCCTCCTTGACCAAGATGGCGCCGCCGGCGCGGACTTCACGTCGCCAGCCGGGAACCCTCCTTGACCAAGATGGCGCCGCCGGCGCGGCCTTCACGTCGCCAGCCGGGAACCCTCCTTGACCAAGATGGCGCCGCCGGCGCGGCCTTCACGTCGCCAGCCGGGAACCCTCCTTGACCAAGATGGCGCCGCCGGCGCGGACGTCACTTGGACGCGGTCACGTTCTGCGTTTGTCGCCGTGACGCGGAGAGAGCGCGACTGGGTTGCCAGTGACGGCCGTTACCAGGGGAACGGGAAAAGCGGCGAGGCAGCCTTCGCGTCAGCAGCAGCAGCAGCAGCGGCGGCGGCGGCGTCGTCGTCCTTCTGGGCCGCCATGGAAAACCTGGAGATCACCGTGAGCTCGATAACCGCAGACATATCAATCCAGGAGGACCAGACCGAGCTGAGCTTCGAGGAGCTGAATAACCTGATGGAGGAGCTGAGGTAACACAAGAGGCTGAGCCTCCCACAGCAGCGGGGCTCTCGGGCACCGCCTGCTGGCAGCCCGGCGCCACTGCAGCTCACTTCCTGCCCGGACCTCTCTCTCTCTGTCTCTCTCTCTCTCTCTGTTCCTCGTTGACCATTTGGTCCATTATTTGTCCACATTCTGTGGTTCAGGGACTTGTTCCTTGTTTCGCAGCCCCAGCGGTGGCGATGTACTTTGTTTGCAGGTGTTGCTGTTTGACCGCCGGTGTTCGGTTTGGCCCGGGCTGTGCCGAGCTCCTGCCGCCTGACTCTACCTGTCGCCACCTCATCTTTGAACGGCGTACCATAACATTGTCACACATAATATTTACACTGATCCTTGCGCCCGATACGGCGCCGTACCGCGTCGTCGAGACGTCTCAGAGCGCTTCACCGGGTGCACCGTAAGAAGTGAATAGGACTGTGTGCTTTGTGGGCGAAGATACACAGTCTCAATCCACTTTACATTCTGGTGTAAAATATTGAGTGACTGTCACTTTGATGGTTTTCACACTTAGTGCTTTTCGCGTAGAATAACGCCTGAAGCTCTTGACAAGGGACGGTGTGGAAACACGCGCAGCGGTAGGAAGTGTGTGGGGGGCAGTGAGGAAGGAAGTCAGTGAAGGGACCAGTGAAGAGAATTGCGTTAACTGTACAGCACAGCAGTTGGCCATTTAGTCCAAATAGTTTAGGCCGGTGTCCACATGAGCTTTGACCCCTCCTAATCCCCCTCTCATATCTCACAAACCCTCTCATGTATCCTCATTTGTCATTAGGGGATCCCATTCTGCATTTAGAAGCATAAGATATTAAGCCGTTGATTCTTCCACTTGAGATTTTAGAAGAACTCAGAAGAAAAGAGGCTCCAAAGCAGAGGGGTTTAGGAGAGAGCTCCACAGACCAGAGGCATAGCGGTTGAAAGTTTGTCAACCAAGAGTGGGCCCTAGGGGATGAGAGCCATGCAGTTGGCCTGAGTTTTAGAGCAGATGAATGGGTGAGAGAGAAGTCACAGAAAGAGTGGGATAAGTGTGTGGATAGATTTGAAAATCAGAACGAGGACCTTGAAATTGATCCACTTGGGGGAACAGGGAGACAGTGGATCCCAGCGAGATTGCTCCGAATGACATGCAGTACCTCTTGAGAGACTGAGGATATGAGCTTCTAAAAGAGTTTTACAGACTAAGAGCTCCGAGCAAGAAAACAAATTCTTGCATTTGATATGGCACCTTATAAAGTCGTCAAGACGTCTAAAAGTGCTTCTCAGGAGTTGCCTGTGCATCCCATGATCCTTTTGCAGAGGGTTGGAACTGAATTTGAGTCAGTTGTTCGTTATCTTTCATCACGTGTGTCCATGTGTGTTAGCTGGCTCAGTTGGTAGGACTCTTGCCTCTGATCAAAAGGTTGTGGGTTCAAGCCCCTCGTTGGGACTTGGAACTCATAGTCTAAGCTGATGTTCCAATGCATTGCTGGGGTGCATTGCACTGAGGCAAGAGTCCTACCAACTGAAACCATTATTATTACCAGTATTGGTCAATCACTTAACTCTTACTACATTATGAAATTTTAGTTTGTAGTTGAAATGGTGGTATTGTCAAACCAGTTACATTGTGAAAGCAGTCTTTGCACCATATGATGATACTTCCTCTGAGACATGACATTTTCATGTTGTTAGCCTTGTGACCGATGTCTTCAAATTGGAGATTGCCCTGGATTTTGGAAAACAGACAACATTAAATTCAGTCATAATTCTGCAATACTGAAAAAGAACTGTGGAAAATCAGCCTACAAATCAAGACAATTTTAATATAGTCTTAAGTAATAATAATAATCCCTACATTTGATATAGCTTTATCGCGTCTTCGACACGTCTTGAAGTGCTTCACAGAATATACTGTAAAGTGAATTGACTGTATGTTTTGTGGGCGAAATGCCTTGGGTCTTGCCTCTTCAAGTCCAGAATTAGGTAAGCAGGATGTGTCTCTCCAGAGAGATAGTGCACATTCCTTTCCAACAATCTGGCTCTGGCATTTCCATGTGTAGGTGAGATAAATGTAATTCTAAGTTTGGTTTTGGATACTCTTAAGTATGAATTAAGTGCTGAATTCTCATCTTTTTCTCTCAATGCAGGATTTCCATTGGAGATCTGAAAATGGAAACTGAAATGTTTCAGAAGGCCTTGGATCGAGTGATGCCCCAGGATGTGCCCCAGCCCATTTTAACCCGTGGCCAGTCTTCCCAAGATCTGTCACAGGTGGGTTTGCAAATCTATGCATATAGGACACAACTTTCGCCCACAAAATATAGTCAATTCACTTTACAGTGAAGCTTTTGTGAAGCGCTTTGAGACGTCTCAAAGACGTGATAAGGCGCTCTATCAAATGCAAGGATTATTATTATTATTATAACTCAGGAGAAGGATCTGAGAATGCTGGTAGATAGATAGCTCTTTGAAGCCATCAACATAGTAGGTGGCAGGAACAAGGAAAGCAAACAAGAATTGAGTGTGCATACCTAGAGGGATAGAGAATAAGTTACAAGACATTATAGCAGGGGTGTATGTTTAGGACCGTGGAGCCCACAATTTCACTTACATGTTTATGATCTTATAGACATAGACATTTCTGTCACAAAAGGAGGACAAGGATATAGTGTCTATGCCACTGCCACCTATATTGCCCCTTTACTAAAGGCACCTATCAGTTTATTCCCCATATCCCTTATTATTCCTGCTCATTCAGAATCTTTTTCAATGGAAGCAAATTACCTCCTTGGTATGTGCCCAGGGAAACCTAGTGGAGGAAAATGAATGATTTTACAATTTTTTTTAAATAGTGAACTCCAGAACTAAAATTTTAAGTTAATATTTGTTTCACATCCAGGCACGGGTAAGGCATCGATCCAGAACTCGGAGTTTTGCAACTGAACGTCTTCAGCTATTGACAGCAGATCAGAAGTCTGACATTGCTCACAGAGAACTGGAGGAAACAAAAGAGAGAGTACAGACTATGAAATTGCAGTCAGAACGAACCATACAAAATTTACTGGTAAGCATCAACAGCTTGGCATCCAACTCAGGCCTTGATACTGAACATGGAGTATCAGTGCCACGAGTGTTTGATACTCACCTGATACTCTGCTACTCGTCTCTATTACATATTGAATGGTAACACTTACTGATCGACATCTAGGACTTTTGCTGTATCCTGTTGACGATATAAAATGATACGTGTTGTGTGGGCCACAGAAATTAGTTTTTAACAATTAACTACTTCTACAGGTTGCAGGAACAGAGCAGCCAGTCAGCCATTGAGCTGGTTCCACGTGAGACTAAAACCACATTTTCTTCGTTCAGCACTTTTGTCCCAGGCATAGAATTAAGCCCATGTGACTAACAAATCGAATCTCCTTAGTCAATGTCTCAATAAGATGTGTTTTGCATTGATGACACACGTATAAGCCTCATGTACCTTTCCAATTGGTTCAGCATATTGTCTTGATATTGAAAGGGATGATGAACCAACTCTCACTCATAGGTCATTTTCCAAGTTGTGTCCTGCTTCAAATCAACCCCATTCATTGAATACAAAGGGACATTCTTTTGCCCCAATAGCGACACCCTCTTTAAATGGGCTGTAACTTCAATCCTTTCCTTGGGGCCAAAATATTCCCCAAAATAAAATTGGTGGCTGTTTGTCGTGTTTCGCCCACAAAATACACAGTCACTCCACTTTACAGTATATCCTGTGAAGAGCTTTGAGAGGTCTCAAAGGTGCTATATCAAATCCTTTCCTTATTGTTTAAATCCAGAAAAAGAAGCTGTTTTCTATTGTGCTACAAATTCATATTGTTTATAACTTCCAGTGCCTGACAAAACACAGAGGCCCTAAATACAGTCTGATTGTTTCCTGCAGGCTGTCCGGGAGGAAGCTGAAGTAGGACTGATCGAGATTCAAAAATCAACACAAGAATTTGAACGTGATTTTGGGTTCTCTGGAAGTTCGAAAAAGGGGATAGTGATTCCAACAGAGAAGATTTATAAATACATGGAAGACAGAATCCGTGCAAAAGTGAGTCCGATACCAACATAGCCCGGTCACTACATGGCAATGATTCAGTTAGAGGCTGGTGATTCAGAGTGTTGAGTGGACTTCGCCACTGAACAAGCTCATTTTCCTGGGCTGTTGGGGCATTTTTTGTGGAATGGAAAAGACCATGTGGTCTATTTACCTTTTCTAAAGTTATAAAAACATCTAAGCAATCGTACACTCTCCATGTACCCAAATTCTTTGCCAAACACAGTAGCCATCTAATTCCCTCTTGAATTTGTTGACATCATGTCTCTGGTTCCCTATTCCCTTCTTTTTTTAAGTACTGTCAGAAATCCAGCTTTCAAACTAAGATTGAATCAATAACTTTCCAAAATTCTGCACAGTGTCACATTTGGAGGCAATGGTCATATGGCTAGGGATTAAGCCCATGTGAAATTTTGATTCCCTGATGGTCTGGCATTCATTTTGCTAAGGTTGGTACCTTAAGTCAACCAGAGAATTTTCATCCTATAGTTGGTCCTGTGGTTAGCAATTGTTGACAAATTTGTTTGGTGATTCCTCTTGGAGTCCTGTAGCTCAGTGGTTAGAGCACTCGCTTTGCAAGCGAGAGACCTGAGTTCAATTCCAGGCAGAGGGCGAAACCTTGGGCAAGTTTCCTTACTCCACACAGAGCCTAATAATAATCCCTCCAAAAACCCAAAACAATAATAAATTGGTCATTTTCAATCTACGACTGTTTGTGGGACATTGCTGTGCGCAATTGGCTGCTGCGTTCGCCCACAAATATACAGTCAATTCACTTTACAGTGTGTTCTGTGAAGCGCTTTGGGACGTCCTCCCGACGTGAAAGGCATTATATCAAATGCAAGGATTATTATTATTATTATTATTTTAGTGGTGGTGGGACTTGGGATGTCCCTCTAATGTTGAAGGTGGTATACAAATATAATTTGTTGTTATTTGTTGTTGGTGCATTTTGCAAGTTCTCCTCTACAACAACTGACAGTTTGCTCATTCTTGTCCAGGACATCATGATCGATAGACTACGACTGAAGAGCACTGCACTGATGATGCAGAAGTCGAAGCTGTACCAGCAACTCCGCCAGGTTTGTGACAGTGATGGGGGTGTCGGGAGCTCACATCTCATTAATTCTGGGTTATCCTGAAGCTCTGTAACCTCTCTATAATGGTCCCTCTGTCATCTCCATTCTTCCTATCACTCTCCATTTTGCTGCTCTGATCATCCCTTCACATCATTCATTGACTTTATTCACTGCATTATTTCAGTTGAAAACAGTCATGTTTAAAGGGTTTTGCATTTGAATGTGTTGTGTTTTAGTATCGATCTTATAACTTTATAAGCATAAAAAATAATACAGCCCCTAACATCTGATCTGCTAGTTAGACCTCCTGCTTTTGATTTAGAATCACCTGCTGCTCAGTGAAACAACAACAACAACAACACCATTGCATGTGTATAGCGCCTTTCACGTCGGGAGGACATCCCAAGGTGCTGGACAGTCAGTGTTTTGGACCCGAGCTGGGGTCGGGATTGGGGAGGGTGGAGGTCAGGGGGGGGAAGGAGGGTGATCAAAAGCATAGTCGAAGAGCGGGTCTGATGGGAGCCAATCAGGAGGGCCTCAGTCTTGTTGACATTTTACTAAAGAAAGTTAGTTCTCATCCAGGACTTAATAATAATAATATCCCTTGCATTTGATATAGTGCTTTTTACGTCTTCTCGACGTCTCACAGAATAGACTGTAAAGTTTTGTGGGCAAAACGCGGCAGCCAATTGCACACAGTAGTGTCCCACAAACAGTTTTTGATTGAAAATGACCAACTTATTATTGTTTTGTTTTGGAGGGATTATTATTAGGTGTGTGGAGTAAGGAAACTTGCCCAAGGTTTCGCCCTCTGCCTGGAATTGAACCCAGGTGTCTCACTTGCAAGGCGAGTGCTCTGACCACTGAGCTACAGGTCACCACATTCTGTCAGCACAGCAGCGGTCCTGGAGTCAAGGGTGGAGGCAGAGAGGTAGAGTTGGGTGTCATCCGCATACATGTGCTGCGGATGATGTCACCAAGCGGGAGCATACAGATATTGAAGAGAAGGGGACCAAGGAACACTGCACGAGACAATACAGGGGCTAAAGGAGAAACCATTTATGGAGATGAAGTGGAGGCGGTGTGAGAGGTACGATCTGAACTAGTCAAGGAAAGAGCCATAAAGGTTGAGGCGAGAAGAGAGGCAGTGGATGAGAATAGAGTTGTCAACGGTGAACCATGCATTTCACAGTCTTAAATTCTCTGAGAAACAGGCAGTATTTGTTTCTCAGCACAGTTTTAACAGTGTGAAAAGAGAGACAGAAAGATCTGGGGGAGTAGGAGAGAGAAAGAGAAATGGAGAAAAGACGGACAGGCAGAGCTGAGCTATGAAAAAAAATGACTATGTAGAAGCAGTGATCAAAGTGGCTGGATGCATATTTCCATCCGTTATTCCTCACACAATGAGTTTCCATTCTTATCCACACTGCCACTGGAGCAGATGCCAATTACTTCCCAATCATTGGAAATAAAGTCATCCTCCAGGAGAACATCTCCCCCCCACCCCACGACAGCACCCCTAATTAGTCACAGCATTGTAAGTAGCCTAGAAGCAAATTTCTTTGGTTCCTTCAGATTTTATATGATATGCTCTATAACTCAGCCTTTTCTCTCTGAAGTACTAAAGTACCCGTTGTCACCTCCCAACTGCTCTTAACATTCCATTGTTCGAGAATCTCTAGTCTGGCTTGCAACCTGCTCACAGCACTAACACTAACCTAGTTAATGACATCCTATTTGGCCACGACTAGAAAGAAGAGATGGGGGAGGTGCTGCATGAAGTAGATTTTCAGCAGCTGAAGATTGAAAACCGACAGCATATGGAGAAGATTTCTGTCCTCAATGATAAACTGCTGTGGCTCAAAGTGATAACAGGACAAACTCAGCAAGTCCTCAACAACTACAAGGCAAGTTCTGATTGGAACTGATTGTGTAAATTCACATCACATGTGGACTTTGGTACTTATAACCGATGTTATTCACTGCGAAGAGGCGTTGACAACATCACATTACGTTGATTTACAGAGACAGTCTAACAATGCAGAGACACGGGCAGAGTAACAGTGAGGAGACATGGACAATGTCACAGTGCAGTGATACAATTTTTGTCACATGTGGGAACCTAACACCATGTTTCAGAGGATCAAACAAGCTGAGAATTCCATGCATCCCATGGAAATTTCAGAATTAGATTGCTGGAATGGAACGTGCACACTCTCTCACTCTGGAGAGGTGGTGTAGCAGCTGAGAAGCACATGGCAATGGTTGAGTCACATACCAAATGGGTTAAAAGTAGCAATCTTTTCTTTACCTGTCTGCAATTAGAGTTTTTCATTATAATTACATTTTGTTCAGCAACTAATTAATGCATGATAAATCTCTTAGTATGCTTACCCTTTCTAATAGTGCAATCACCTCCCTGTTTTAGAGACAGTTGCAGAAATTGATCACAGAGACAAAACGGCTTAATACAGAGATCAAATCCAGACATGAGATGTCACACAGAATAAAGATTGAGATGGAAGAAGTCGAAGAGGTACAAGTACACAGAAATCTGTCATCTATATATTTAAGATTTGTTCTTTACTGATTTTACTACCAATTGTCAATAGAATATAAGAAAATGATGCACAGGAACTACAATCCGAGCACTCGCTTTGCAAGCGAGAGACCTGAGATCAATTCCAGGCAGAGGGCGAAACCTTGGGCAAGTTTCCTTACTCCACACACAGCCTAATAATAATCCCTCCAAAACCAAAACCAATAATAAATTGGTCATTTTCAATCTACGACTGTTTGTGGGACATTGCTCTGCGCAATTGGCTGCCGCTTTCGCCCACAAATATACAGTCAATTCACTTTACAGTGTGTTCTGTGAAGCGCTTTGGGACGTCCTCCCGACGTGAAAAGCGCTGTATCAAATGCAAGGATTATTATTATTATTATTATTAATCCAGTTCTTATACAGACACTTAGAGAGTTGATGCTAATCAAGTAACTAGTAACTGAGAAGCTTGTCAGGCTTTCAGTGGCAAGAGTTTTAACTGGTTAAACTCCAGTAGTTACCGCAGTGCACAATCTGAGCTCCCCAAGCCTTGGTTCTTGTCAACCTGTGGCTAATACTCTCCAAAAGTAGGTAAGCAGTGTGCGTCCCAGAGTCCTACTATTCAAATTCAGAAAAACCATTATGATCTTACCGAGTCCATTAAATAATAATAATAATCCTTGCATTTGATATAGCGCTTTTCATATCTTGTAGATGTCTCAAAGCGCTTCACAGAATATACTGTAAAGTGAATTGACTGTATATTTTATGGGCGAAACGAGGCAGCCAATTTTGCACAGCAGCGTCCCACAAACAGACATGGATTGGGTTTTGTTTCTTGTTTCTTTTCTTGAGGGATTATTATGAGGTGTGTGGAGTAAGGAAACTTGCCCAAGGTTTCGACCTGCCGGGAATCAAACCCAGTTATCTCGCTTGCGAGGCGAGTGCTATAACCACTGAGCTACAGGACTCCATGAGGTATTGTTTTTTTCATGGAGGGATACCAAGGGGCAGAATAGTTGCTGTTTATTTGTACCATTTGTTTCACGCAAATCATCTAATTCCTGCCTGAGTTAGGAGGCTATCCATAGTACCAAACATATCCCACCCCCCAAAAAAAATAGTGCTCAAAGTGTCTGTGAATTTAAAGTTTGGCTGAAGCTTTGGTCACCTTCTGTACTCTTCAAATAATAGGAACGAGATAAGGAGGAACGACAAAACAAGAAGTTTCGTGGCCTGCTGTCTGATTACAGAGTGCCTGAGGTTCTCGAGTACGTGTGTGGAAAACGCAATCGCTTTGACTTAGAGCAGAAGCTCAAAACCTGGAAGCGAAAAGTGGATGTTGCACAGGTGAGTGTGGTTGTCGAGATTCCAGAGATGAGTGAGCATAAATATGTCTAGATTGCAGGGATAGGCAAGTATGTGGGTATTGTAGGGCTGAGAAAATTTGCACGTGTATCTGTGTATGTTTGTTTGCACCACTGTGCATGTGTATATGTATAATAATAATCCTTGCATTTGACGTAATGGTAGCACTCTTGCCTCTGAGTCAGAAGGTTGTGAGTTGAAGCCCTACATTGGGACTCGGAATCACATAGTCTAACCTGACACAATGCAGTGCTTGGAGGGTGGGGAAGGTTGCATTGTCAGAGGTTTGGATGAGACATTAAACAGGTCCCATCTACCTGTTCAGCTGGATGTTAAAGATCCCAATGGCACAATTCAAAAAAAGGAAGGGAATTTTTCCTGGTGTCCTGGCCAACAAACTCCCAAATAAAATTGGTCACTCACTCTATAGCTGTTTCGCATTTCGTCCACAAAATATACAGTCAATCCACTTTACAGTATATCTTGCGAAGCACTTTGAGACATCACAACAAGGTGCTACATCAAATGCAAGGATTATTATTATTCATCATGGATGTTTGCAACTACAATATTGCTGAATCCTGTTTTGGTGAGCAGGAGAGCTTAATGTCTCCCTGTGATCAGACTGAATAGTGCAAGGGAGAAATACATGTAACATCTTCTCAGAAAAGTGACCATGTTACATCTGTCTTCCAGCTGTCACATAAAACCTCCACTGAAGCATGGGAGAGACTCAAAAAATACAGCACTAACGCTCAGAACTGGGACGATGAACTGTGGACCAAAGAATCCCAATTGATGCTTACCCAAGAGAGTGTCCCAAGAAGCTGAGGGCACAAACAGGGAATATTCACAGGAGCCAAGTTGCATAATATAGTTGTTCAATCAAAAGATTTTGACCGTCGGTTCCCATTATGTCAAATCAATAAAATCTTTCTCTGATGCATTGTGCTGTTTATTTACAAGCTCTGAAATATACTGCCGCCCTCAATCATAAAGAAGGAATAGTTAGTCAGTGCGTGCAGGGTCCAAATTGTTGAACTTTAAGTATAGTGGTTCCATTCCAGCGTACCAACTGGCAGAATCTTCATCCACGTAAGAGCATGCCTCTGATAAGCAAACGTACAAGATTCATTCAGTCTACGCTTCTGAAGAAACTGCACTAACCATATCACAAACTGCCTGCATCAGAACACCCACAATCTGGGGCGAGTGGGGGAACAACGTCTTTGGGACTTTTGCTTATGAAACTTTCTTAAAGACTAGAACATAAGAACATAGAACATAAGAACAAAAGAAGACTAAGGTCCATTTACTTCACCTTCCACCAAGCATCCTGGCAGTCACTTGACATGTAGAAACTCTAAAACAGTTAATGAGGTGGGAGAATTATCACATTGAAATCTTTTTATGATATATGATGAATAGCAGAAAACAGAGTGGGTCCGCATCTGTCGCGTGTGAGGGGCAGGTATAGAGATCTTTCCAGTGGTAATATAAAAGGAATGAAGTGTAGTCAACTGATAACCTTGACTTATCTTGTCACTACCACTTAAGTCATCACGCTGTCAATATTCCCGCTGCATTTATTTTTGTATTGATACGTATGCCTAACTCAAATGCCAGGATTATTACTATTATTAATACTACTATTATTATTGTTTATTCCCCATCAAAACACACAGTGACTCCACTTGACAGTACATTCTGTGAAGCTCTTTGAGACGTCTCGAAGACGTGATAAGGCACTGTATCGAATGCAAAGATTATTATTAATATTATTATTAAATTAATCAATAAATGAATCAATAAACTGTGTCTGAACTCGGCCAGGCCAGATCACGGGGAGTCGGTCACTAACTACCTAAAACAGGCGCTGGGTACGTGGTTTGAAGGCTGGGGAGGTGCGATCAGTGCTGTAGGGACCGGTGTGTGGGGTGTATATCCAGCAACAGGCAGTGAATGGTGTAACCAGGTAACCAGGTAACCGTGAGCGCTACTCCGTTGCTTAGTAACGACTGGAGATACAATGGGTGTGAGTAAAGGCAGTGATATCGACAAGAGGGGAAAGAGAGAGAGAGAGAGAGAGGGAGAGAGAGCAGCTCTGACCTTCCTCCCATCTCATGGCGAAGAGGGAGAAGCTGAAGGAAGGGAACAGGTCCAGGGACATGGGAGATTATTCCTGGCACGAAGGTCCTGTGGGATCCCTGAACCAGCCAGAACAGCAGGTGCCCCTGAAGACCAGCGTGGCAGTGCTGAAGTACAGCCCCAGCCTGGCCAAGATGCACGACCAGAAAAAACACAGGAAGTACAAGAAGAAGGACATCGTGGATCTGGACGAAGATATTGATGATGACAATGAGCCGCAGTTCTGGAGCAGTACACCAGGCAGCACAGGTAACTGTGTGGGGTCACTACACCTTCATTGCCCTTGTGTGTTGTAAGAGCACTCCCCACCCCACACACATATGCACTCACACATCCCCCCCACTCATACACACACTTATACACGCAAATATACCTCCCCGCCACACACATACACCCCCCACACCCACGTATATGCACACACATTACCCCCCCCCCCCCCCCAACACACGCACACATATACTCAGAAGCGTTCTAAGATGCCATCCGGCGTGGAGGGCGCTATATAAATCCAAGTTGTTGCTGTTGTTGTTATACACACACCTCACACACACATATACATTAACCCCCCCCTCCCCCCCCCCCCCCCCACACACACACACACATACACACAAAGAGAGAAACCTCACTGACCGGTATAATAACACAGAAGTGAGAGACACAGAGGGATCCAACCAACACACACAGACCAGGCGATCACTAACACTGTCTGACAGACTCTGGCTCCAGCACAGACTGGGAGGGGAGACAGTGTCAGCGTCAGCCAACACTAAATCTGCACTAACGTCACCTACTGCATCACCTAACCATCACCTGTGGCATATAGACAATAAAATACTGTACAGCCACAACTGAGACCACCCTCTCCCCTCATAGCACAGGTAAGTGGGCACTTTACCACTTTGTGATGATCTTTCCTTTGATGTAAAATTCACCATTAAAATTTATATTTTAATTCACCATTAAAAAGAGCCACACCATCAGTCACCAGTCAACACCACATCAACGTGTGCAGGGAATTTTCAGGATAATAATAATCCTTGCATTTGATATAACGCATTATCATGTCGTTGAGACGTCTCAAAGCGCTTCACAGAATATACTGTAAAGCAAAACATTATCATCTCTAACTCACTTTTGTGGCCAGTTTTGATGTAGATGACAAACCAGCATGTGAGAATTGATGGCTTAATCTTTATTTTTGACAAATGATTGAGTTTTATGGTGTCTACCTCTTGTGGTTCAGGTGGATGTTAAAGATCCTATGGCACTATTCTAAAAAGAGAAGGGACTTTTGCCCTGTGTTCCCCAGAACACAGGGCAAAAGTCGGCTGCCATGATCAGCTACAGGTACACAGATAGTTCACCTTATAATCCTGTGAAGCACTTTGAGACACGTCGGTGATATGAGAAGGCGCCATATCAAATGGAAAGATTATTATTATTATTAATAATTTAGCCCTGTGCCTCTTTGGAGTCAGTTCAAATTCAGTGAGGCCTTGCATTGCTCTAGTCTTCCCAAATGATTATTATAAAGGCACGGTTTTCATTTAATGAACTTCAGATCCATTAAGATTCAAACCCAGGACTTTCTGGTCCCAGGTTTAACGCTCACACAACTGAGATAGCCAGGGTGATCTATTGGTAAATTTAAACAGACTATGTTGTGATAAACACAGAGCAAACTGCGAGTGCCTTTACTTCTCCTCTAATGGTATTTTTTGTGTTCTTGTTGTAGAAGTACACTTCTCGGGCCACGCAGTCAGGCACTTGAAAACACAAATCCCCAAATCCCAAAGGTTAGGGTCAAAGTTTAATTCCCTATTCTTCTTCTGTTCTATTTGATTTTTTATCTTATTACTGTGATTTAAAAGCAAATAACTACTTGTATGTGATTTCAAAGCAAATTAATACTTATTCCATTTTTGTTCCTCATCCAGTCTCAAATCATCAACATCTTCAACCATGGGAAACCTCCACCATTTTCCCTATCCAAAATAAAACCTCCACAGTTTTCCATATCCAAAATTAAACCTGCATCATTTTCCACATCCAACCTCCGATCCCATTTGTCACCTTCCAAGTCTTCTTTGAGGAAAGTTTCTTCAAACTTGGATCAACCTCCCAAGGAAAAGCCACCGCCGGTAGTGAGTAAGTGACAGCATTCAATAACTTCAGTTGACCGTCATAAATTGTCGCAATAGATTTTTGGAGCATTTGAATGTTTTAGCCCTTGCTTTCCAAGCAATCTGGAGTCCTGCAGCGAAGTAGTTAACACACTCACCTCACAAGCGAGTGCACCTCAGTCTGATTCCCGGGGTTGGTGAAGCCTTAGGCACGTTTTCTTACTCCACACGCCTGTTTTCCTAGCAGTAAGACCTCAGTCAACTTGTAAAGTCTGATGCCCAATGTTCCCTCAAGGCTGCTCAGCATCTGTAACACTGTAGTAGCCTCAGACTTGAGGACACTTCTGTCTCTTGCTGTCTTAAGGGATAGATTAGGGGAGAGGTTGAGGAGGCTAATCCTGACTGATGTCCCTTCATGTTTTATAGGTGCCTCAACAGATGTCCTCAACCTTCTGTGAGGTGGACCTGTGAAGGATTCTGTGGAGGGGTGATGTCCTCTTCCCTTATCTGGCTGTGTGACACCCCTCACTCAGATGTTGGACCGCCAAAACAAGAGGAGTCTATCCCTTTCTCCTCTTTAGACACATCGATGAAGGTCTTCTTCCAGCAATGCAGCCATGAATAGAGGTGTGAATAATAATAATAATCCTTGCATTTGATATAGCGCCTTATCACATCTTCGAGGCATCTCAAAGCGCTTCACAGAATATACTGTAAAGTGAATCGACTGTATATTTTGTGGGAGATACGAGGCAGCCAATTGCGCACAGCAGTGTCCTACAAACAGTCGTGGATTGAGTGACCAAATTTTTATTTATTTATTTATTTTTTGATGAGATTATTACCCCCGGAAAAGCAATGCATCAATCGACTACTGCTAGGTAAACAGAGGCGTGTGGAGTAAGGAAACTTGCCTAACAGTTCGCTCTGTCCAGGAATCAAACCCAGGTCCTCTTGCTTGCGAGGCGAGTGCTCTAACCACTAAGCTACAGGACTCCAATATACCACTCATGACGTGTAATTTTAGATTTCGCCCCACAGCCAGTCCTGTCTATGTAGATTGGCTAATTGGGCCTTGTCCTGAGAGAGAGAGGTTTATCAGTGTCCACAGATCACAGCCTAGCATGCATCACACTACCTTCTGGAGAGGAGAAATGAGGAAACGTATTAGAGAGGAGAGAAAAATACACTTTAGATACTTAAACATCATTGAGGCTTGTGGCTTAAAGAGTTACTGAATCCAACATTGTCACGGAGCAAACAAGTTAAGCCGACACAATCCGATTGATGGTTGCATCCCCACCAATGTCAATTCAGTGGCTTCATATTGTGAGGTGTGTGCGTTTACACCTGGTTGCATGCTTAGAGCTTGTGTGTATAATTTGTGTGTGGGTGTGTTTGTGAGTGTGTGGGGTTTAGGACTGTGTTGATACATGGTTGCTGTATATTCAAGCGTAGGTATGTGTCCGCAAGCGAACTCGGGCACATTTAATACTGGATAGAAATGAATCTACTTGGTGTTTGTCGAGACACAGAGGTCCCTGGCTCAATTCTCAGTCTGTGCTAAGTTACCAGGGAAATATAATAATAATAATAATAATCCTTGCATTTGATATAGCGCTTTTCACGTCGGGAGGACGTCCCAAAGCGCTTCACAGAA